AAGCACTTGAAGCGCCTGATGGAAACGTTCCGTAGGAATGGACGTGAAGAAGCCTGACAAGTCTTGCGATACCAGGTGGATGTACTCATCAGGATCTGCTTTTGACAGTGCTTCCCATAGCTGCTGGATAAGTTCTTGTACTGAAAGTTGACCTGCAATGTCGGGGAAAGCTGCCTTGGTGAGTTCAAATATGAGCGCACCGAAGACCGTGAGGAAGGGAGCCGCCCATGTGCGAAAGAATGAAATGATGGGTCGAGCTTTCTGCCAGTCCTTGGTCGGCTTTGGAAGGATGCGCGCTGTGGGCAACGGTGCTTGAAGTCGAAGTCCCCATGCGTATCGTTGACGTAGGAGAGAAGGTACCGTGGTTACCACTTCAGAGCGAAACGATGCTGCGGATTCGCGGCAAAGTGAGAAAACATCCCCCGCGCAGAATGTCTTCCGCATCAATATGGCAAACAGGGACGGGCACACTACATGTGCACGGGAGGGAAAATGATCCGCTGGGATAACTACCCAAGAAGACAAAGAGGCCACAGTGCGTTGCAACGATGCCGATGACCAATAAGCCTGATCTTGGAGGTTGATCCGATGGGTCTCCATTAACTGAGCCACGACAGGTTGTAGATCTGGAAGTAGATCGGAACCATGTACATGCCAGCGTCGAGCAAGTTTGCGAAGTTGCGTGGTGTAACGTTGATGCAATAGGTCGACATCACCGAAAAACTGATCCTTCATTGAGGCGGCCATGATCTCCACGTTAATGTCCGCATTGATGCGAGAAAAGTCATCCACCATTACTGCGTGACCATGTGCACGGAGTAGATGGTGGTCATCGATGTCTAAACAGCGACACGGAAAGGATGTGTCAGGCGTCCATTTACGCTGCCATGTGCGATAGTTGTATATCTTGTCGCCCAATGTGGCGCTGCGGGTTTCCACAACCCGGATCTTTGGAATGAAAAGAGAAGGGAACAGATCCCGATGGGAAGCAATCCAGTTTTGTAACCATGTGCCAAGTAGCGCTTTCCAATTTTGGACATGCAGCGGCGGCAAAAGTAGCTGTGTCAGAGTGGAGGGTGGTTGCAGCCGTCGTTTGCGCAGTACCTGGGCGAGTAGCTTCTGGGCCTTGGAGCGGAAGGGTTCGTTGACAAATACTGCGAGCCGCAATAAGTAGTACAGCTGAGTGGGAGGGAAAGCGGCTGACAGTAGGTCACGCATGACTTGGAACGACGCTCCTGTATTCGATCCCAGCTGATAGAGGATCGAGTAGTGGGCTTGAATGTCATCCAGGGTGTCAGGTCGTAGTTGCCGTTGGAGATCCGGATGTAGTCGTCGTCGAAAGCGCTTGTGCAAGCCGATGGAAGTGGGCGTCGACAACGAGTGGCGTCGAAAATCTACAAGATGTTCCCGGAAGCCAACCTTGCGCAAGATTCTGTGTACCCAGGGCGCATTCAAATGCGGGCGTAGCAGGTATTGCCATTTGCTTTCTTGAACCCACACCGAGGAAACTGGAAGTTTGATTTCCACTGGTACAGCACAGAAGAGCCAGTAAGTATTGGATCGTTTCCAGTAGTGAAGCGCCGGTTCAAAGAAGGCATGCCGTCCACGAAGTAGTTGTAGAAATTTGCGACTGCGTGAGTGTTCACGACGTAGAACATCCTGATCAGTCGCCCCAACATAGTATGGTGTGTGCCATGGGGAAAGTCGAATGTAGACGCACGGTTGTTGGTGATGACCTGGATCATGTATGAAGTCGTAGAGGTCAGGAAATCGCGCCCGCAATGAGCGTAGATGTCGCGAGTCAGCGAAAGTCGAGTGCATGATTTCACACAAGAGAGAAGTCTTGTAGAAGTGAAGGACTTCGAAGAACGGCGGGAGGTAGCCGTGATCCTGTGAAATGAGACGTTGTAAGAAACTGATCAATAAATAGGCAGCGCACCGACATCTGTGAAGTTCATACCTGTTGGCCACGGTGTGCTGAGAGTTGGACATGGCGCAATTCGGAATCTGGAGGGCTATCCGGACCACAACTAAGACCTCGAGGATGAGACCCAGCCACGGCAATTGTGTGATGGATTCGTACTCCTCAAGTGGAATCGACGGTGGTGGTAGTCCAGGGAAACAGTAATGCCAGCACGTCGAGAATGTAGTCAACGAGTGCAGAAGGTCGTCCAGCGACTGCCATTGTGCAACATCATCATAGATTCCGCAGTGGCGAAGTTCATCCAACATGGTGAGATGCAACCAACGAAATCTACCACAAGGCGGCGACATAAATACAAGCATCTCAGACAATCACACAAGAGGCAACGCAAGAACAAGCAAGTACAAGATCAATCATGTGCAACGCAAACACTTGACGGACGAATTTTCACCTGGACTCATCCGTGACATTGTTGCCGCTCCGGGCTCATATGAGATCGAAGGTCGAAATGATGCCTTCTCATCCACAAAGCAGGCGAGCGGTCACGATGAGGTGACTCAATGCCTTCTCGGTGAGTTTGGTAAGGTACCCGGGTTCAAGACCCCATAATGCTGCCATTGCACCGAGTGTGGGCGCATCGCCCTTCGGCATGCGCTGCCTGGCCTGAAGAAGCTGCGTCGCCATAGAATCTAATGACTTGTTGCCGTTGAGCCGGGACGGGTGATTGGCCCACTTAACCAGCGACGCCAAAGTGGTTGTTGTGGGTGATTGCTTGAGGAAAAGGCGAGGTTGGTCACTGGTCCATGTGTAGTACTTGACAACTTCATCCGGCGTGCTGTGCATGGTGAGCAACTGTGACGCCGCCGGTTTGGACGGCGGTGACGACACTCCGTGAAGAGACTGCATGATCCGAGGTTGCACCACGCTATCAAACGACTTGCCATCCAGGGCGGCCGCGCTGGCTGTGGGAAGGGAGCTGGCAGGTGACGAGGATGGTGTGTGGTTGACCGGTGGCGGTGTAACCAACTCTGCATCATCTTTCTGATTTGTCATCGTGGGCGAGGTCGATGCGCGAAGTGATGCGGAATACTGAGCTTGGAGAAGTTCATGCGCACGATTCAAATCATTGAACTTCTTGACCATGTCATCATTCTGGGCAGCAGGTGCGAGAGAGGTGTGATGTTGTTGAAGAAATTGAAGTACCAGGTTGGCCAAATGGTCGTGGACCTTGATGCGCTGATTGAAGTCATCAATGTTGAGACCCAACGTGTTGGCAAGGTCCTTTTCCAGGGTGAGCAGGTTGAGTGACTGCGATCTTCGTAGTAATTTGGAGCATGTACTCCAAAGTAAGGCCTCAGTGCGAGTGCGAAAGCCTTCCCACGTCACGAATCGGCCGTGTGCAAACGGCCTGAGTAGCCAGTTGGTGAGGCCCCCGTGGATAACCTGAACCAGGCGTACGTCCCTAATATCCATGCCTGACATGTCGCGAAGGTTGCCATGTGGAGTGTTGGCAACAGTCATGGGCAGGCTAAAGTTGTAGAGTTGGTTGACATCAAACATGCCGTCTGCAGGTGTCCAGTCAGGCGAGGGAGTAAGCCAGGCTTTCTGAGGACGAACCGGTAGAGCTGTAGGAGGTCCAGGTGAAGGTGTAGGTGTAGGTTGGGAGGTAGTGACCGGTGGTGGCATCATTGGTGGCATGAACTTGGATGGCGTGGGTTCAGGAGGGATCGGCATCATGTAGTTGATCGCCGGGTATTGGAATTGCTGTGTGGGGTTGTGAGTCGATTGAAAGTTGGTAGGCACCATCGGAAAGTTGTTGGCAGCGTTGTAGCCGGAGTTGTGTTGCCATGAAACCAAGTTGTTCCAATCCATGTTCTCCGAGACCTGGTTGTCATTGTGTTCGCGTCGGTGTGCTTTACGAGCTTGAGGGGAAGGACTCCGATCACGTCTGCGTCGAGTCCTGGATCTGTCACGATCATCACGTCGAGACATGGTGACGCAACTAAATCGGGATTTGCACACTTCCACCTTGAGAGAAACGAATCCGACAAAATGCAAGTCAATGCAAGTTCAAGTCAGCGGCGATCAGTAGCAAGTCAATGCAAGTTCAAGTCAGCGGCCATCAGCAGCAATGGTGATAGAAACGAATCCGACAAAATGCAGGTCAATGCAAGTTCAAGTCAGCAGCCATCAGCAGCTATGGTAAGAGCAACGAATCCAACAAAATGCAAGCCAATGCGATTCAAGTCAGCAGCCTTCAGCAGCTATGGTGAGACGTCGCTATGATCTGACAGCTGTCTTCCCTTTAGTGAAACCTCGTTCCTGGTTAAATGTGAAATTCCGCTGTTCTATGATACGCACGTTGAGGTCAAATTTTCCGACAGAGCCGGCCCGGGGTCACACAATGGGTACACCCGAGGATTCCCCACGAATGGGGTGTACACACTTGAACTCCAGATGGAGAGTGCTAATCTTTCGAGTACAACTGATGAGTCTCGAGTACAACCGACAAGTCTCGAGTACGATGAGTTTCGGCTCGCAATGCACTTGGCTTCCCTGTAGGTACTTTAACAGGGAAACACAAACAACGGCGGTTCAGGGAGGGGACCAAAAGGACTTTCAGCAACATCACGACGCAGGTACAGGTGTCCACGTCTGGACACCCTTCCCACCTTTGGCAGTAGCTTCATTGCGTGCAGTATGCCAAAGGTGCTGCACGCCCCTGCTGCGAAATAGAAAGGGTGGTGACAGGGCATTCTGTCACTCCGCACACACACACACACACACACACACACACACGCACGCACGCACGCACGCACGCACGCACGCACGCACGCACGCACGCACGCACGCACGCACGCACGCACGCACGCACGCACAAACGCACACGCACACGCACACAGAAAGACAACATATCCACACACACACACCAAATTCGTCTGCAGGTCTCTATGAGCCACAAGCACCAAGCGACACTACTATTCCATGACCCAAAGCCATCTGCTAACAAACTATAAATGGCAAGTCCTACTATCCATGGCTTGCGCGACGTCGGCAATCGGCAAGACCAAGCAACCCAAAGGAGGCTGGTACTTCTCATCCACCGCCGGATCCACCACCAACGAGTTGCCACAACCCATTTTGGCAAAGCACCCACCAACCCCTTGAGCCAAGCATGCAGGCACCGCAGTACTATATAGTTCCAGTCGAAACCTAAGGTTCATGCCATGATCAATAGGACGGTGCAAGGTTGCGGGAGTTGTAACCACTGTGATACCGTTGGAAGGCCTCCCCAAAGACCAATTTCCAGAAGGGGAAGTTTGCTATCACAGAAGTGGGAACCAACCCTTCGTTCTCACAACCTTGGAACTGCGCAAAGGTGCTTTTCTGCGATGCCAGGCTGTGATCTCCCACGCTTTGCAGATGAGTGAGCTCGCTTGTCTCATGGTCTACGGCAAGCTCTGTGGGCGTGGAAGGCGCAAAGACTCAGCCACCTTTGCCTGCAGCGTCACTCAACTCATGCCAAGCATCGGTAAAATACTGACACTAGCTGCATTGAAGTGTGTCAACATCAGGAATCTGTTCGAGTGGTGGTTTTCAAAAGGTTTTTTCTCTAAAACCATCAGACCTCCCTTTGAGTTGACATGCGTTGTTACATCAGGGCCCATTTCACGAAGCATCTGGGTGCTTCGCAAAACTGTCCACCCCAGGTGGTTGATCTCCCTTTGATCAGCCTTCTTAAAAACCATCCGAAATGGATTTCCTATCTTAAGACAACCAAATAATACCTATGCATTATAATATATATATGTATATATAACTTCTTGAGGGTCCCTTGCTGGGTTGTTCTGAAGGAGCACCTCCGCTTCTGGGTGGCTCCCCCTGTTTGAAGATAAACCTACTTCTTTTCAAGATAGGGGACCTCCCAACATAAATTGGTGAATGTCCGTTTTGCCCTTTCAGCTCAAGTGACCCAAAAAGGGTACCCTCAAAAACAACAATTTCACACGTGACGGTGGCATGTCAGTGACTCAGACCGCGACCACCATCTGCGACGGCACCGCTGCCATGCTCAACTCGTTGCACAGCACCACGGCCGTGATGGGCTTGGAGCCCTCAGCCGGCCGAACTCGGCGACTTGGAAGCGCCTTTCCAACCAAACAGCGCGGAGTTAAGCAAATCAACTTAAAGCTCTAGATGATAAAAGACATGGCACGAGCCGGTGCTCACAAATGCAAAGGCACTTCTTGAACTCCTTAAAGCAGCCCGCTGTGTTGTTGGCACCCCGAGCAAGCAACATTTGCATGCCGTTGGGTAAGCCAGTGTCAAAACAGGCACTGGCAAAACGGTATGGGAAGCCCTGTGAAAGCCCCTTAAATTGCAACGCCCAATGACGTCCAAAGTGGCACGCCTGTAGGCTGCTTAAGAACAGAATTGATCCCTGTCAACTCCTCCGAATAAGAGACATCGGATCCGGAAACGGATTCCATAAATCTGCCGTACCACGCTTCCCGCAATCGCAAGCAACACCGTGTGGACAAAACTTTCCAAGCTCGGTCGGATACTGGGTGACCGCCGAACAGTTGTTGGGCTCTGTAGGCTCTGGCCATTAGGCCCGTTGGAACGAGAGGGGCCCGCATGGAGTATGCCGATGAGCTGACTTGAACTCACACAACCTTGAATCCAGGATGCTGTTAAAGCGCCCCCTTTCGTTTTAGGAGTTGCCATCCCCTGTCGGTTTCCTTGTGGTAGACTTAAAAAGTGCGGGGTATTCAGCACCCAGCTTTTTGTCTTTGACCAGTTGACTCCTGCAAAACCGGACACATAAGGACCCCTTAAGAGACAGGAAGGCTTGGAAGGGTCTCCAATCTGCGGAACGACTGCAGTTTGCAAGACCCGATTTTTCCTGCCGCGGCGCCGGCCATTGCACAGCGCAGCCCAAGAGACCCCCGCAGCTTGTGAGGCCTACCGGGTGACTCCGATGGGATGTGGCAGAGGACTTGTTGGGCGGGTCATGACTGGGTTCACCCAAGCGACATCTTGCTCTGCCTGAAAACTCTGGTTCTCGGCTATACTAAAACAAACCTCTAAATATTAAAATTGACCCATGAGAATCCAATCAGTGGCACTCTTATTTGAACCGGTGTTGAAGGGAAACCACTCCCTCCCCCCAAAAAAAAGGGGACACGCTCCACAATGCTAACCTTGAGGGACTAAGCCTGGATGTTGGCTGATCGATGAAACCTCATCTATCATTTAGGTCCCCTGGTCCACTGTGGCTTCTTGCAGTGTTTGCTCAGAGGGGCCTCCCGTAGCAACCAACCATATTTTGCCTGGTGGGCGGCTGTGTGCTTCAAGTCATTGATTCCTGGACGCACGGTAAACAAAACATACCTTCAGATTCTGATTCTTTGGTTCACCTCAACACATAACATATGTGGGGTTGTCTCAAAATAGGGGACCCCCCCCAAATGGCCGCTGTTTATTTATTTTTATAAATCATCCGGAAAACACGCCGTCAGCGCCGTAGGCAGCCCCGGCCTAGCGCCGCGTTGGAAGGCGCGTCGCCCATGAGCTGCAGGCCGCGCTCGTCCCAGGCGCGCAGCGGGGGCGCCAGCTGGGAGAAGAGGAAGCTCATGGAGCCTCGAGCGTCGGGGCATTCAGTTCGCCTAAGGGGGGAGGCTATGCATGGGCCTGTGGGTTCAGGTAAGGGGGGTTGGTAGGAAGGCCTACATTCAAATGTGGGCTTGTCTTCAGCAAAGACAAACCTGGAGACAAAAACGATTGTTGGGGTCTCCTAAAACACACACACAAGCTGGGACCAGCTGGGGCCATTAAAGTGACCGTGCTTGATCGAATTCGCGTTGGAAATGTCAGCCGGGCACCTTTTGAAGGGCTATTTGAGCTTGTGTTTTTGTTCCCCACCCGACAGGAAGGGGTTGTTAGATTGTATGTTGGAATCCGCGTTTGCGATGCTTCTACACCACGCCCCCACCCAGTATCCTGCCAGAGCAGCTCGCCAGCGGATCCCGCCGAGTATTTCACCAGAGCAGCATCCCGCTGAGTATCCCAGAGTAGCTTGCCAGTAGATCCCGCCGAGTTTCCCGCCAGCCAGTGGATCCCGCCAAGTATCCCACCAGAGCAGCCCGCCAGTGGATCCCGCCAAGTATCCCCCTCAGATCCAGAGTAGCTCGTGGCTCCCGCTGAGTATCCCGCCAGAGTAGCTTGCCAGTGGACCTGCTGAGCATCCCAGAGCAGTGGATGCCGCCGAGTATCCTGCTGAGTGCCCCTTGCCCGTGGATCCTGGCAAGTATCCGGCCAGTATCGAGCCGGAGAGGCTCGCCAGTATTCGCCAGGGATCCCGCCAGCGTCCCGCCAGAGCAGCTCGCCAGTCTGGTTTTGCTTAATGTCCCGCCCGGCCCGGCGCACAGTTACTTGGGCTTACATTTCATGTTGGTGCCTTCGTGTTTTGAGTGTACCCTGAGGCTCGGAAAGGGTCATGCTTTTGTGTTGTTTTGGGTTGTGAATAAGCAACTTCGTTTAATCCCCCGTCCGGTTTCTTTTTGGAAGGGGCTTGGCTTTTGTTAACGGAACCGATGTCTGAGTTCTCGAGATTGGAGTTTGACACACAGACAGGTGGATAAGGCTCTCAACGCAAAGCTTGTTGAGCTAGCCGATGGGAATTTGGAGTCGAAGTCTCTAGGATGCGGAGGAATTTGTTGTAACGGTCGTAAGCTTGTGAGTGTGGAGGGTGGGGATTGCTCGAAACGCAGTATTTTGAGATTTCCCTTTTTCAGGTCGGTCCAAAGGGAATCCAAAGGCAAACCCACCCATTTGGGAGGCAAGCTAATGGAGTAACCACCAAACCTAGATTTTACCTTCTGGTTTTGCCAGAAAAAAATGAGCGAGGGCGGGATGTTCAAACAATCCCCCCAATATATTTGGAGCAACCCCGACCAGCCTCCAACAACCTTTTCGTACGTCTAAACCCAGGAAGGAGAAACCCTAGTTCCTTTTCGCAGGAAAGCAACAATCCCTGGGTTGAAGTCTATCTTGGGTTGAAAACACAGAGGTGATCGAAACGTAGGATGAAGAAACCCCGTAGCGTACTGTATAACCAAGCCATGCTTCCAAGTTCCAAAGAGTAAGCTTGCACTTCAGCAAACCACATATTATGTGGGCTTCCATCCCAAAAAGGGCCCCTCGCTTTGTCACATACCCATTACCATGCATTACCAGTATTGCCAATATGCGGAGGCATGTTAAGTGATACATGACTTCCACCTTGGCTCCGTCGAATCAGTGGCCACTGGATGCCTCACTCGTATCCCTTGCAAGAAGCATTGGGGCCAAACGTCGCCTAGGCACATCGCCAGACAAAACCAAAAGATCATGAAACCATGACAAGCTGCTTGAACACTGGGGGCCCTCGGAACACTGGCGTCCTCTACAAAATGTTCCAAACTCAGGTTGAAACATCACCTCACCGAAAGGATTCTCAATCAAGTGTTTGTCCAACAGGCGACTTGATGTTAAAAAACACCCCCAAAGTCGCAGTATGAGCCAAAATCAAACCTGGAAGTGGTCTACCACAACCAATGTAAAGCACCTATTCTCGGTAGTTACGGACCTTGAGTTACCCGGATTCGGCTCGTGGTTCATAGGGCCGCTGTTCCGGCTCCTTTTGGTTCTCGCAGCCGAATGCCGCCAGCGCGTTTTCACTGGGCCGCTGGCCCCCGGACGCCGGGCCCTCTTCTCGGCCGTGCACCGGCCTGCAAAACAAACGCCGGGCGCCGCCGACTTGTGCCCGGCAAGGATTGCAGTTATCAGAGGGGGCGGAAAACTTGAACCACGATCAAGCTTGCATCCCCACAAAAAAACAAAAAACGCCCCCGGATAAATCTGGAGGAAGGGATTTATCCGAAGTAGACCCCCTAGATTGGAGATTTAGGCTGCCCAACTTAAAGGGGACCTCTCTTCAAAATTAGACAATCACGAATTCATGGCATTCTATACCGCCTCCCCAAACCAGCCCCTTCCATGTGTCCTATGACAAGACCCCATGACATGGCCACATGAATGGCCATGTCCGGAAAAACAAGGATGGGAAGTCGAGGACGGCACCTCAAACCTCAAGTCGTAAAGCGGCTCCTGAATTGGGACCTTCTCTTTCCACCAGAACCTCTTTAGTTGACTTTTATTCGCTTTTAACATAGGTTCACACCAGGTTCAGGGTCAAGCAGCCTTACCGGCCCTTGATCCAGGGTTGGGCCCACCCCCTGGAAACATGCTGAAACATGCCTTGAAGGGGACAAAAAGGGGTACACAATTTGCCCGACCCCTCCCTCACGCGAACCCGGGATTAGATGAGGCGCCAAAGGACTCCACGCTGCCGTTGTGGCTGCTTGGAAGGGAAACCAAAATGAAACCACCCCTGGGGAGTTCTCAGGACCAAGACCAATTCTGTCACTTCCCATCTTAATTTTGAGACAAGCTCATTGAATACCACTTTCGCCTGTGATCCTGAAAACAAAAAAAGAAGTTGCTGCGTGTTGTTTCAGTGAGCCGGAAGGCAAGACACCACGTTCTGACTTGCAAGCGCCTTGCGTCCTTCACAGGGCAGGCAGCTGCGAGCACCTCATTGCGGGTCTGACAGAAGCAATTCCGGAGCTTCCCGCCCCGAACTGCACAAAGTCTTTCGCCAGGGCAAAAATCAATGGGAGAACTACTGCAGAGGCAACTTGAGGGGATGATTGGACCAAAATTGGGCGATTGTCTCATCTAGTTCCACTCAACCGCAAGCTGAGTCAAGACACGTTAGCGGCCCACATGTCTATCTCAGCAAGCACTGACCCGTGCGCTTCCTGAATCTGGTGGAAGCTAGTTATTTGCCTTGGTAAACAACTGACATACAAGAACGGCATCTGAAACGTACAAATTAATGTATCACTCTACGACTCGGTGGTTCGACTTTGGCTATGTCGTACCCAGTAGGTGGAGAACAACCCGCAACAAAGAAAATGGACGACCGGTGGCAGTGACATGGGTTTCCAAGTCAGCACCCCGCTGGTTCCAGTAGTATTTTGATATTCCTTAGTACCTGCCAAACCTTGAACTCTTAATATCACAAAGATATGAATTGCGATCGAACTGTACAAAGCATCGGGCGAGGATGGAAGAAGCGCGGCAGCAGTTGTGCAAATAATCGGTTGGACACCTTGCTGATCAGCCATGGCCCTCCTTTGCTTGCTGCTAGCATGCAACCCGACAGAAGGTTGCAACGGGTCCTCAAGGGAGCCACTGACGAACCCCTCAATGTCCAAAATCCGCCGACAACAGACGGCGTGTTGGACTCCTTGCTTCTTTTGAGCATCTCCGGCGCAACATCGCCAGCATCACCTGCATCATCCCCATCAGTGTCTGCCAAGGATGCGGATGAGGCAGGTGATGCTGGTGATGTTGCCCGTGAAAGGACATCTGGAAATGAAGGGACATGTTAGGGGGAAAAACACTTATGGGGGGGGCAATGGGGGAACAGATCTTAGCGGAGAAAGTGGGGCAAAGATCTTAGGGGGAAAATGAGGGGAAGGGGGAACAGCGGGGGTAAAGGGGGGAGAAGATCTTAAAGGGGGAAAGGGGGGGAAAGGATCTAGGCGGGAAGGGGGAAGATCTTAGGGGGGGACAAGGGGGGCAAGATCTTAGGGGGAAAGGGGGAACAGGTCTTTGGAGGGGAAAGAGGAGGAACAGATCTTTGTGGGGGAAAGGGGGCAAAGATCTTGGGAAGGGGGAAAAGATCTTGGGGGGGACAAGGGGGGCAAAGATCTTGGGGGGGACAAGGGGGAACAGATCTTAGGGGGGGAACGAGGGGAACATATCTTTATGGGGGCAACGGGGAAAAAATCTTGGGAAGGGGGAAACGATCTTACGGGGGGAAAGATGGGAAAAATCCTAGGGGGTGAAAGGGGGGGAAAAGAGGGGGGGAGGGGGCAAAGATCTTGGGGGGAAAGGATCTTAGGGGGGCACAATGGGGGGAAAAGATCTTAGGGGGGCACAAAGGGGTTGTGGGGGAAAGGGGGAAACGATCTTGGGGGGGGGGGGGGGGAAGGGGGGGGGGAAATATTTCAGGAGGGGAAAGGGAAAAAGGCGTCTTAGGGGGGAAAGGAGAAAAGATCTTCCGGCGGAAGATCATCTTAGCAAGAAAAGGGTCGAGAAGATCTTAGGGGGAAGGGGGGAAAAGATAGGGGGAGAAAGGGGCGAAAAGATCCTAGGGGGAAACGGGGGAAAGGATCTTATGGAGACTTCCAATTGGAGAAGTCCAATATGATAATTCCAATGGCTATGGGAAAAATCCAAAAATCCAAAGGGGCAATTAAGAAAGCAGGCCTGTGCTGTCGGCGGCCTGAGCCGGAGGCGTTAAAATGGAGAGATGCAACGCTCCCCTTTCCGGGTGTCTCTTGATTGAAGCCCTTTGCAGGCAGCTTCCATAGGGAAACCAAGGGAGACCGCCTGAGTTCCCGGTTTTTGTCTCTGGGTGCGAATCTGAGTGGCTCACCGTCGCCAGGCCTAAGCCATGCCGTACAACGTTTCTGGCAGAGACCCGGTCCCATATGTTGTGAAATCATTCAAACATGTACTGCAAACATGTAGAATACTTAATGTATCTACACAATAATGCATGTGGGTCCAATAGCTAGAGAATCGCCCAGCCAAATTTCTGAATGAAGGACCCGATTGATACATTGTTGCATGGCCGAAGCCTTGCATGGTGATCAAAGGGCAACACGGGGCCTGCAACAAAGGTACTCTCTGTCAACAGGGGCAATCACAGGTGTGCGATTCGGGTCGGTGAAGAAAGTCCGCCCTTGGCTTTTGAACCAGCCAGGTCTTAGATGACACCGGCTTCGCTATAAATCCTGCCTTAACCATGGCATGGGATGCGTCCATTTTTACATCGGTCAACGGGGTCTGGGGCGCTGCTCAACTTTCTGAATGAATCAGAATTCACCGACCTGAACCAAGACATGAACCCGCGACAAAGAAACCTTGGTGGGGGACGTTGCAAAGCCTGCAAGAGCCACACCAGAAAACACAAAATGGGTCTATTCTTTTGAGTTTTGAGGGTACCCCTGTTGCGTGGTTTCAAAAGGGAAGCCAAAAGGAAAACCCACTTAATTGCGGGCTACCCTAAAAACACACCCAAGTGGGCTTGCGCTTCTTGTGCTTTTCAGGTTGGTTCAAATGCAAACCAAAAGGCAAACAAAATCCATCTTGGGTGGCCATTTCCACAAGATCTGAGCTTCCGACTCCGCGCTGACGCTGCACAGGAAAGATCGGGGCACACCTCCCGAATCCGCTTGCTGTCCTAACGCTGTGTCTTAGCATAAAGTCCATGGAAACAACCCAATTGTATTATAATGGATGGAAGTCTGTTCCGGCAAAGACCAGCCGGTTGGTTGGTTTGCTCCTCCCAGTCGTTTCTTATGGCGTGCTCCCTTTGTGGCTCCCATGCGCCACTGGGCAACTTGACTTTGGGGTCGACAAAACTTCAAGCTGAACGCCACATTCTGGGCCTGATGGCCTTCCTCTTGAAGTATCTGATGTATGGCCCACACCAGAAATCGTCACCTTCTGAGTTGAGAGGAGGTCGAGCTTTGGTGTTTGTCAGCACAAGCTCGTTGGATCCACTTGGACAGGAAACGGTGAAACGAACCAATTTGGAAGTGTCTTACTAGAGAAGCAATGCCCGCAAGCCCAGTGGAAGCATGTGCCATCGTCAAATCTCCAAGTTCCTTTCTGGGTTCCAGCCGGAGCATCTCAAGCAAAATCTCCGACGGGAATTCGACCCCTAAAACCGGTTGTCTGGGAGTTCTCATCCGAGGCATTTCGGGCCCAACTCGTTTTGACACTCAGCCATTTTCTATGGCAGCGGTGCTTTAGTTGGCTTGTTGAAACGCCAAAAGGGGGCTGCACCCATATTAATATGGCAAGCATGCGAGGTCCTGCTTCCCTGTGTAAAGCAAAGTGCGCGCTAGCACGGATTCTATGCAAACAGCTACATGCAATCAAGTTCAAAGGTGTCTGAGTGCTTCCTCCAACAAATGGACTCCAAGTTCAAACTGGCCGGTTTCCTCGTGGTTTCCCTTTCAGAAACCAAAAGGGGTCGAGACTCGAAACGGCCTCCGCAGACCACTTCGCAGCGATGTTGGCCAGGCCAACATCTGCAAGAAGACCCCCAGCATCCTCCAGTGACGCGTTGTGTTGTGTCATGGTGGGCAAATGGATTTGAAAACTAAAACTGTTGTCCTGGAACAGGAGTGTTCTCTGCACCCCAGTTTTGGAGCGTGTGATGGAACATCAGATTTGATGAAGGACTGTCCGGGGGTCCAAGCCATCGGAAGTCTCTAGTTCAATGGTTCTAAACATCTCCAACATCAGAACATGACCATAGCTGGTTTCCCTTCGCTTCCTTCAAGACCCAGAGGGTTCAATTTTTTTTGGACCTAAATCTCCCTCTGTAAACACGTGGGTTGACTCCATGGCTTGTCTTTGACGCTTGCACCGTAGCATCTCAGCAAGCCGTCCTCAAAGACACTCCTTGCCAGCGACTGGCGCTTTTCGCCTGGATAAATTTTCCGTGACAGTGAGCCACGGGCCTCATACGCGGTTGCTGTTGACGTGGGAAAAACGTGGGACAATTAGGTTTCGTCTCCCTGCCTTTGACATTTTGTGTTCCCGTGGCCCTCTCATTGGTCTGGATGTTTTGTCTCCCTCAAGCCCGGCTCGCGCAGGCTCGCCTGTCTGCCCAGGCTTCTCTTCGCCTGAAGACATGAATCGGATCCCGATTCAAGGCGTGCTCAATATCACATGGGTCCACGTGGGGGTCTTTCCGTGTGTCACTTCAGGGACTCGCCCCAGGTGCTTGGTTTCCTGGTGGCTTTAAAAGCATACCAAAAGGGCTCCACAGACCCAAAGCGGTGTTCCACATCACCTAGGGTGGAAGCGTCTCAACACTGAGGAGCGCACGGCTTTGAGCTTTGCCCTGCGCAGCTTCAGCATGATTGCGCAACTCGCTTGGGTCATTGTGAAGGTCCCTGCTGAACACCCGCATGAGGGTCTACTGAAGATTTGCTGAGTTGATGGCCATCCCTGTTGGGCCATCCCTGTTGCTCTTAATGGCGTGTGTTGACCAGGACCAAGGGCCCCTCAAGGGGCAGCCGGAAACTTCTGGGGGCCAGTTGCACACCCGGCCTTGTCCACAGCTTTGCCAAGAACAGGGCCCATGAAGATGCTGCCTGCCGGCGATCAAGCCATAGAAGCGAATGAAACATGCGCGCTTTGCACGCAAATCATCACCAGCAGCCTCCACCAGGCGAAGCTCCTGCTGCAAATGGCCACACACAAATAGCTCCACACACCTTGGACTCGCAGCACTCTCTCTGGACTCCTGACGCCAAGGACCGCAAGTCCGCGAAGAGCCCGCTGGACAGAGTGGCCCAATCCCTCGGCGGAAGACTGAGTTCTTGCACGCAATTGGAGGGGGGTCGTCAAAATGTGCGACCTTTTTGTTGGGATCCCCTTGAATGACCGCACAAAGCGGCACGAGGGTTGATAAAGGGGCCAAAAACTGTCGATCGCAGCTGTGGCATGGGGGAGGCTTCTAGGAGCTTCTGGGGGGATCCTCTGCCCGCAAAAATTGCGGCTTGGCTGTGTTCGGCAGTCCGGCGCCAGGGCGGGGGGATTCTCCAAATTCCGGCCGAGCCGTGCAATGCCCAAGAAAGGCATTCCCAGGCTTCGCCTTCGACCCCTAGTTTCATGATGATGATGATGATGATGATGATGATGATGATGATGATGATGATGATGATGATGATGATGCTGTGCATGCTGGGGATGCTGGTGCTCGCTCGCATAACCCTCCCCCTCCCCCCCAACTTTCGGCAGCTCCGAGCACCCCAGCTCACCGGTGGAGGGTCCTAAGCAAAGCTCCTCCGAAGTGAGACTCGCGAAGCCTGTCTAGGAATTCATGGCACGACGACATGCAAAGAACCCAACTCTGAAACCTAAAAGTTGCGGGAAGGCCCTGGATTTGATACAGCATCGCCGTAGCCCGTCCTGGGCAGCTCGGAAGCCAGGCCTCTGCCAGGCGGCGAAGGCGCTTGGGAACATGCTCTGCGTGTGAGCGCTGCTGGGGTCATGCCTTACATCAATAAGTTCTCGATTGTACATATTGGATCCTGACATATAAGTCATGTGCATGTTCATCGCCAGCATGCTTGGCTTCGCCATCATCGACGTCGTCACCAACATCGCCGCCAGCGCCAGCGCCAGCGCCACCGCCAGCGCCAGCGCCAGCGCCAGCGCCAGCGCCAGCGCCACCACCACCATCATCAGCATCAGCATCGCCCATCGCCATTCGGCATCGTCGTCATATCGTCATCATAATAATTATTCTCAAGTCTGATTCAGCGCAAGCACTGTACAAATAATAATAATAATAATAATAATAATAATAATAATAATAATAATAATCATCATAATAATAATAATGATAATAATTGCATAACAAATTGAGGGGCTGAGATTGCCAAATCAAGTACTTTGCAACATGTTGCAATTGCTTTTGCTGCAAAGAAATTGAGGCCCCCTGAATTTGTCGTCCCATATCTTAGCAATATTTAGCAATTCGTGCGATGAAGAAAGCCCTTTTGTATCTTATTCGGCCAATCGGGGGTGCGGGGCAAGTGCCCGGCTCAACTTCTTAGCGGGGTTGCCAAAAGGCTCTAAAAGCTCTCGAAAAGCATGTTTGACCATCCGGGGTCCGCAAGGGAAGTGCCCGCTAAGAAATCCAGAGGCTCAATGCGCCTAGCCAAGAAATCCAGCCCCCCTTGCTCCAGAGCGGCAATACCAGCCATATCAAAGACAAAATGGACGGTAAGAAATTCAGCCCCCCCCCCCCCCCTCGGCCAGCTGATTTCTTATACAGCGCTTGGGCTGTAATCCTCGGGCTCATTCTCATTACAGTCATCATCAGCGTCGTCATCATCGTCATCATCATTCTCGTCCTCGTCGTCGCCCTTTTCCTCATCACCGTTATCATCCTCAACAACACCAACATCCTCATCTGGATCCTCCTAATCATTGTCAACAACATCATAATCATCGTTATCATCGGCATCGTCATCGGCATCATCATCATCATCGCGGTCATGGACATGGTCATCATGGTCATCATCACTTTCAGCAGCAGCAGCAGCAGCAGCAGCAGCAGCAGCAGCAGCAGCAGCAGCAGCAGAAGCAGCAGCAGAAGCAGAAGCAGCAGCAGCAGAGGTGGCAGCAGCAGCAGCAGCAGCAGCCTCTGCAACCACGACCACAGTAGCCACAATATCCGCAGCAACCAACAACCACCACCACGACGGCGGCATGAGCGGTGGCAACGACTACGTCCACATTCGCATCAACATCGCGACAGCCTCCAGCAGCAGCACCACCGCGGCACCACGCTTTTTGACATGGGCTTCTGGTTGATGCTGGCATGCTCTAGAGTTGCTCCCTAGATAAGCCCGGCAAAGGAGCAAGCAATCTACGTGCGCTATGTCACCACAGCACACGTCTGAGGCAACCGCAAGCTCTCTTCCAAAGCATCCACCTTCAAATTGCGGCTCTCGTCAAGTGAATGTCTCAGGGCCGTAACAAGCAAAGCGCAAACCAACAACTGCCAGGTTCTCGCGAGCGTCCAATCTGCTCATTTGCTCATTTGTCCCTGCAAGTCGTCCGGACAAACAAGCCAACGCTTATGGCCAAGCTGCTACCGGGGCGTTGCTCAGCTGCCGGATGGCCGCGGCTGCTGCGTATCCCGTACCTGGACCCCAACCAGGGTCGACGTGAGCATGCTCCCTGCAACGTGGAACCTACAAACATCCTCTTGGGGGACCCCTTGTTGGGTTTCATGTTAATTTGCTGCAGGAGTAAATCCTGCTGCGAAAAGGGCGTGTCTCACGCAGGATGTTGCTCAAGAATGACACCCAAAACAATAGCCTAAGAAAAAGACACACTCAAATGAGTTGGTCAGGGAAATCAAGATCATGACTCTTACAATGGGGCCTTCCATTGTTGGACGGGACCCTTTGGTCTCCTGTAGCTCAGTTGGTCCGGACTCCCAACCAGTATAGATGGTTCTCGCTGTTGCGCAACTCCCTTTGGTGGGTTTCGAAAAGAAACCAAAAGGAAAAATTGCAACCATGGCAACATTGGCAGGGACCCTAAAGGATGTTGGAATGAACCCTCCCCCGCCCTTTTCCTTTGAGCCAAATTTAGTGTCCCCCCTACGTCCATCCCAAATTGATTCTTTCACCGAACCTGTGGAGAATTCTCAAAATTTTACGGCCCCACGCACACCCCCGGAACCCCCCCCATTCTGACCGATACCCCCTCTCCCCCCCTCCCTCGCGCTTTTGGCTCCCGCGCCCCATGGCAAGTAGCGAGAGCTGGAGCTCGGCTCTGGGGCCAAGCTGGCTGCCAGCCTGGCAAAGTTATTAGGGAAGGCCCGGATGTGTCCTTTCGGTTTCCTTTGGGCTCCCTTTCGGTTGGTTCCTTATTGTTTTGTTTTGGAGGTGGGCCTGCGGCAAAATACGGTGTTTGGGTGTCACTTCGAATTCTTTAAAAACAGAAACCCGCTTACAAAAACAGAGCGTTCTTTGTACGGGGTAAATTCTTGAGAAAAGCAGAGACGGGGGGGGATTCTCCTTTGTGACTTGTTAAAAGAGGTGCCCATGCGTGTGCGTAGCTGCACGTACCAATGTTGGCACATGTTGTAGGTTTCCTTATGGGACTTTTAGCTAGTTTTCAGCAAGCCGCCAAACGGTCATCCAGGCTTACCACATTCCAAGACTCCGAGTTCGGTTGCAAGAATGGGACTTAGGGCTTAGGGTAAGGAAATCACCATTCGGGGAATCCCCAAGTTAACAGAGAAGAGACATCGCACCCAAAACCTATTGACTTTTGGTTCAAGATTGTTGTAAAATGTAGCAAAGGGTTACATAAGCCCTACTCTGACCCATGAAACCAGGAGGTAGAACCACCTACTAAAACGGCCAACGCAGGAATTGGGTGCTGCTTGCATTCAGTCTCCACTAGGATGAACTCCAATGAGCGCTCAAGCAAACCAAGTCGACTCTGTGTTGGGCAGGACAGAGGCAAACTCTGCGCCATGTCCACGGACAAAACATGCTCGAGCTTTGGTGCAAAGTCAATTCTTCTTCCCAAATCACAGGGCACGTTGGGAATCCGATCTGGCGGAATACTTGCGACACGTTTCTGGACCCATCTCCGAAGCACTCTGCCAAAGTTGGGGGTTTGTCTCCAAATGGGAGATCGCACAAAACACATGGATTCCACTTGGTTTCCCTTTGAACCAACCAAACAAAACTCTCGCAAGAACGGATTTGCCTCTTCAGCATCTGGCCGGAATCCCCTAGCTCCGTGACGGGGCTGGTGATGAAGGTCTCTCCTCAAGGCATTGACTGTTGGTTCTACCAAGAGAATGCATATCAATGCTTTTGACCTTTTGGCAACTAGAATCACCTACGCAAATTGGCAGCTGGGATTTGTGCCACCGCTCACGCGGGTGCAAAGCTTAAGGTTGACTTCAAATTCATGCGGAGGAACCTACTATGGTCAGAGGACCCCCCCTGATGCAGGTAATGAAAGGGGAACCAGCCTTTGCGTGGTCCTCCGGAATAATCCAAAGCTAGTACTAGTTAGGCGTTGAGAATGGATGGCTTCTTGCTGGTTCCCGTGTAAATCTTTCCTCCAAAGGGTTCGTGTTGACACAAATATATGCATATATATATATATACACACATGAGCCCTTTGGAATCATGTCCAATAAAAAGGCTTTGCACCGTACGTATAGCTGGTTCCCTGTCCTGCCGTAAGGAGTTGTTGGTTTCTATTTTATTTGTCCGTGCTTCCCTCCACACCTGCCAAAAATGGCAACGGTTTCCTGGTCTCCGTTTAAACAACAAGCGTTGTCTTGAAACAAACACAAACCTTTTGGTTTGCTGTTGGTTTCACTTCAAATACCAACCAAAAGGATTGTTAGGCCAGGGGAGAGACCACCCAATAACATCCAAACAAAAACTAAACAGAAAAGTACGTGGCCCAAAAAAAACATGGAACCTGACAGGGGGAGTGCTGGAAGACAAATTTCCTGTTGAAGGGACCATTTCCCTGTCAGGTTTCCATGCTCCTTGGTGGGAGAGTAAGTGGGCCACCATTTTGTTCAGCCCTCTGGGGCTCCCACGGGCATCGTTCTGGCTCAGCGCCCGGTGTGCCAGCGCATCCGCCAGGCTGCAGGTGCTGGCACAAGCGGACTCCTCGGGTGAGCGAAGCGGCTGAAGCATTTTTTGGGCGCCTCTGTGGGGGGTTTATTAATGGGGAAGCTCACGCTATAGGTGTCGCCCAGTTTGAGACCAAACCATTTAATTTGTACACATGGCAAAGTTTGAAATCGCACCCTAGTAAAACTGCCGCTTAGGACACCATGAATTTCGGCCAGCTATTTGTTGGTTCTCCTTCAAAGGTTTGGGGAAGCTATCGGGTCTTGGCCAATGGGTTGTGCAGGTTGTGGGGCTGTTGGGCTGCTCCTGAGGCCTCTACCAGTTGGATGGCTTACAGGCGAACCCAAGGGGCTCTTAGAAGGGGCCTCAGAATCTGTCTGACAGCGATCGTAAGGCTGCCTCGCCTGGCAAATATTCGGGGGAAGGCAGCAAAATGAGAAGGAAGGTCTGGGATCTGCCGAGTGCGGAAGGTGAGGAACCTTGTTTCTTTTGGATGGCTGACCGTTGGCGGCAAAGAGTTGGAACTTGTAGGGCTTTGGCTGAAGGAAAGACATCTAGAGCAACAGACAGGCTTTCCAAATTTTAGAGGTGCTCCCGCCTGAACCAACCCAAACATGGAACATCCTGAGCTGCCCCTAAGTCTGAGGAGTCGTCTACCTTGGGCGCCATGGTCCGAAGCTGGGGGCGAGGCCAAACGGAAGCTCATGAGCCGCTCGGAGTAGTGGACCTTGCCTCGAAACATGGAGCAAAGGCTGGGTGGCTGGGTGAACATACGACACAAGGACTCCAAATTGTGGCTGATTTCTGGGTTTCCTATTCAAAATGGTACACTCAAAAATTGACACACATGGTTGCTTCCGAAAGCTTGACGACTCCTTTTGGATGTTGAAAGAGCCAAAGGGACACCAACCAACTTGTTTCGGGTCTCTTTCCGACACACCCACGTGTTCCTCGGGTCTCCCAACCGCTTTGCCGCTTTGGGCAAAAGTGAAAGAAGGGATCCCCGAGTGGCGGACCTGAAGTATGATGAGCTCTCCCAACCTCTGAGCTCCTTATGAATCGTTTGGAGGCCCGACCCCGAAAAATGTCTGGTTTCCTTTAGTGCCTGGTCAAAAGAGTGAAAATAGGGGATCCCAAATAAGGGCCTGAGTCAAAATAGGGGACTCCAAGCATGGTGCCCTTTGATTTCCTTTTGACCAGCCTAGAAAGGTTGGCCTCAAACCCACACCCCTGAATGGTCCTTCCCCCCAAGGCAGCGGCCCTTCTTGGCCGCGGCATGCAGCGCCAGCAGCCATGGCAGGCCTGGGGAGGCGATTCATGTTAGTTCATTTCCCCAATATCCCTCGCAGTTCATGTAGACCCCAAAACCCGTGACATCTTTCTTATGGAAAGTCGAACGGGAGGAGTAACATGAACGTCTAACTTTGTTGCTCATGCGCTCACTCTACACTGTTCTTGCAACCCTGCAGGGTCTCCCATTGTAGACCCTTTGTTGAGGAAATAAATAGCCGGTATATGGTGAACATCCTCCATTGCCTCTTTTGCGATTTGGGGCTGGCATATGGGTGTGGGTCAAACATAGGTACCCAAAATGGAACCCTGGGAAAATGGAAACAAGGACTAAAACCTGCGGTCCACATCCTGGTGGATTAATTTTGACCCATACCCATTTCGGGGGTTTCGTTCTTCAAACGGGGTGTTTTTCTCCTCAACTCAGCCCCCTGCGGGCCAAATCTGCCAAGGGAATCCGGGTGGAGCGGGTCATGGGTCGCGGATCCACGGAGCCCAGGACACCGCCGCACCTGGATTACTTCGAAAGCCGGGGACCTGTCCCTTGGCGCCGAAAAAAAGGGGGAAAAAAACGACGGCAATTCAGTTCTCAAAAGTGTTTTCTCAAAAGCATGGGATTCTGGAAAAAAAACTGGCAGCTGTGTCACAGTAACTGTTATCAACCTCCTCTTCAATCACTCCAGGCACAAGAAGCCAGAACTCGCTGAAGCGGCAAGCTTGCATCTTGACGTCATCGGCACACTCAAGCAAGCGGGCCCCTGAGGATACGGCTCATCAACAACGCAGGTGTCGCCAGCATAGACGCATACCTCCATCTCAAAGCACTGTACAACTGTTGACTGCTTGAAAATAAACAAAACAAAACTTGAATAAAGAGAACTGCCAATTGACATTGCGTGCCTGCACGCCAAGGCCTGGTCGCTGCACAACGCACTGGGCTATGAGCTGCCGCACTGCCGCAGCAGCCTAAGCTCCCGGAAAACGGAGTCCTTGAATATCATATGGGTTGTCCTTTTTTAGGGCACCCCTTAATAGGCCCCTTAAGGCGGTGTTCCTTTTAAAACCACCCAAAAAGGGGTATCCTCAAAAAGAGGATCTATAGCCAATATTATGTTCCTTAACATCGCCCCACAAGGAGACCAGCTGCAGCTTTGTCAACGCCTAAAGATGGTCAGGCAGAGAGGACCCCTTTCGCAACCCAAGGTAAGGATTAAGGAGTGCCTGTGAACAGCCTGGCAAGCACTCTTTGGGTTTAGATTCCTCAGGGATGCCTTTCGCGACGTTTGAGCTGAAGGGGGACCTGCACACGCCTGCAAATATTCGATGTTGTGCCGAGTCTCATGTGGTTGGACTGCCATTGCACCCCCGCATCTGCTTAGACCCCATGGGTTGTTTGTCATGTTGGTCAGTGTTTTGATTCTTGACCTAGAGTAAGCTCGTGCGCGTTTTTGTGGGAAGCCTGCGAGGCTGTCTTCGACATCATCCTCATCATCCATTCCTGCCATTTCAGGGGCATGTAACAAGTAATTGTTCGAGACTAGCTGTTGCGTGATGGGTTGACAAACAGCTGACCCTTCGGAACTCAGGCTTCTGTTTGATGTTCGCCTGAGGATTCCTGTGGGCAGAAGTCTATTGGGTACGCAGTTGTTTGTTCGCTTTGGTCTGACGTTTGGGCCAACCCCCTTTCAGCATGGTGCATACGTTGTTACAGCATCCTTTTGGTTTGCTGAGGCTATCTTTGTTTCAGCAAATATGCATTGCGCCCTCCCCAAACAAACGTTGAAACTACCCACAGGGAAGTATCGAAAGGTAGGGACCCCTTGAAACGTCCGCCACTGAACTGGCATGGGCCTGGCTGCCGGAGGCCCGCGACCTGGTGTCGCCAGAAGGGGTTCCGGTTTTGGACCACCAAATGCCTTTCTTCCCCTTTACGGGGTAAAACTGTCATCCCTTTCGGAACCCTGTGGATCCTCGAGGGGTTGTTTTGGAAAAGATACCGACAGCATGGGAAGTTTCAATTGAGAATTCGAAACCAATTGGCAGACACCAAAGAAAAACCGAGAGGCCACAAAGTGGGGCGGAGGTGCAACTGAATTCAGGAACACCCATGGCCATGCACTCCATGCATGAAGACCGAGGGATGCGAGCCTCCCAGCATGCTCTTCATCTGGGAGGGCTCGTAGGGCGCGCTTCAGCGGCGGAAATCTGCAGACCTGTACAGCCGCAATACGAACATAAACGTGCAATGCGGGCGACAAATTAAAATAGCAACAACTCCTTTCAGGTCCCAATAATTTGCCCTGTCCAAAGTTGCGCATTAAAAGAACACAGGTCCTGTTCGAAGTCCCAATCCTTAGGTCCCTCTTTAAACGAGGATGGTGATGCCTCTGTTGGTTGCCAGGTGTCCTGGAGTCCTGGACCGAACCGAAAGCGGAATGCATCGAACAAGGACACATATGGTTGCATGTTGAGATCCTACCATCTGTTTTGAACCAGGTGCGAGTAGATCTACGAAACTTCATACCAAAAGTGAGGCCTTCGTGGTTTGTTGTGTTTTACATTTACCTCTGAAAATATGTTATATATATATATAAAGAAACAGAGAGGGAACAAAAAAACGGACTTCCGGCAAATGCTGAGTGCCTGGCAAGAGCCCTGCGAGCATGCTCTTGAAAGAGCTGCAGGAAGGGCCTGGCATGTTCGTCGAAGGGGGTGTGACATAGATGGCTTTGTTCACGTGGGCAAACGTGCCCCAAAGATGCAACACACTATGACCTGTGCTGGGAAAAACAGACAAACAGCGCCGGTCAATGATCAGAGTCAACTGAAACCAGTGCCACCTCTGTTCAACCCAAGTGATCTATAAAAGGACACCTCTGTCAAATAAAAATTGGTTCTGCCCAGTGGCAGCAAACGACCAAGCTATTTTGTCCTAGCTTCTCGTTTTGGACAATGACATGGGAAAAGAAATTCAGCTGTGTGCGGCTCTGTGAGCGAGAACAATGACGCAATGACTGTTGTGCCCTTCCATTTCAGCTTGATGACATGGGAAGTTACATTCCTCAGGTAACCACAGAGTACAGAATTTGTCAAGATTACAAGGCGCACCAAAACCCATACTGGTTGAAGCACTGATTGACTCCATGGTGTCGCATGAGAATTAGGATGGTGCAGTCCGTCTGCCTGAGCCAGTGTGCTCAATGACGGCCCGTGAATTCACGTTGCCCTTTGTACTTGCCGACATTTGCAGAAGAAAGGGAGAAGAGAGGCGAAGAAAAAGGTAGGCGATCACCAGTGTGGACATCCAATGTGCCAACGTGCAAGCGCGCGATATTTATGTCACAAGATATTGCCATAAAAAGTGAGGAGATATTAGCGACTGAAGCGATCCTACGATTCCCATGTAAGCCGAACCTGCAAATCGCTGAGTTTCAGGCAGTTCGGCGTCCAGTTGCGAGCAAAGTCCGCGGACCAACAACTGGCAGCGAGATGCAGCATCTAGGAATTCATTGCGCGCCGCGTCTGGGAGTCGCACCATCATCCGCATGAAAAGCACAGCTTCTTCCGGCATCTTCTTTGGATACCGTCTTGTCTGGGCCTGCAGTGGTGCCAATCTGTGACTTCAAGGAACGCAGGTGCCAATCTCAGAGTCTTGCCGATCCGATGGGTTCAAACGGCTCTCTCCGAGGCAACGACTTTGGCTGCCTTCTTGTTTTTCTTGGTTTCTTCGTCCAGAGCCTGGCTCGCGGCATTCAAGACATGCAACACACCTACCCACGTCTATCTGGAGTTCGTGGCCAGATGGGGGGCATGGCGAAGAACCCTAAATCTCCCATTCACTAGCCGGTACCAGGGGATATGACAACTGCTCCCAAGGATAGCAGTCACCAGGCGACTGGCTCAGTCCATGATTCACAATACCCTCGCGCCCCCCTTTACTCGCCTCCAAATCAGCCTTGCTTTGAGACTTCCGGAGGTCCCTGAAGCTCTTGAGCCCCGCGATCCTGAAGGAACCAAGCAAGCATCTCCCCCTTTGGGCGCACCATTCCTTGGGAAACGCCATGAGGTTCCGCCTGTGGAAGTCAGTTTTGGGAATCTGGTGCCAAACAAAAAAGACGGGGATTCAATCCTGCTCTCTCACCAATCACCAGAAGGTGATCTGAAGGCTGAGTGCACTGCTGATTCTTCCGGTTCCCGGTGTCGCGAAAAACCATCCTCAAATGAGACGAACTCAGATCCTCTGAGATCCACAGTACAAGTGGAACGAGTCTTGGCGGTGTCAAAACCAAGGACCTTGTTGAGGAGGTTTTGATTGGGAAACAACATGACACCAAGTGTGTTCGAAGAATCCTGCCTTGGCTTTGACAAATACAGTGCAAGTGAAAGATGCCCCCGCTACTGTTTCAAGGTTTGCTCCCAGGTCACCCAGCACACACACACACACACCCACACACTTACTTGCAGGCAAGAAGCATCATGTATTCCATGTCACGCGCAGGATGAGTCTGACAGAAATGCTGCAAGGCTCATGCGCTTCTAGTCTTCAGGGTTTCACACATTGTTGCACCAAAAGGGAGACTCCAACCTGAGGGCAGTTCATGTAGCATTGACCATGGATTGCCCTTGTTGGAGGGTAGAGGTGTGTGTGCAAGTTTACAGGCCCAAAGCACTTGTCAGGCGCAGCCCCATGTTTCATTTGCTAGATTTGGGTAAAGCCGGGGGCGTTCCATGTGACCCATGGGCTCTACGTTGTGGGTTTTCGCGATCCCACCCTCAAAGAAAGGGAGAAGCATATCACTATCTGCTCGTATCTAAGCATTACATACAGCTTGTATGCCCCTCTTCCTCCATGAGTAGTGGTTTCGGGGGCAAAGGCGATCCTCTTGCACGGAGATTACGTCGTGTGCAGCAAATTCCCGGCCTCCGACTGAGAGTTGACGATGCCCAGCTTTTTGGTGGCCTCCCGACTGGACAAGTCTCGCAAGTCCCAATAGTCTCACAAACCAATTCGTCACTTGGGGCCCAAAACCCTGGGTTCGTTAGTTTGTACCGCGTCTTAGCCCCAGTGATAGGGCAACCTTACGGGTGAGCTATGCTTTACTCATGAGGATGCTGGAAGACTTTCCATGGGTCAAGGGAGGTGGCCCTGGGGAAAATGAACTCGCATCCGTAAACTCCGGCCATGGACGCGGTTTGCTAGGAACCGAGCCGCAGGCTCGACTCCTGGCGCCCTTCCATCAATTCCTTTAAGTTTCAGCCTTGCGACCATACTCCCCCCGGAACCCAAAGACTTTGAATCTTGTAAGGTGCTGACGGAGTCGTGCAATTAACGACCTTCAATCTCCAGTGGGCACAGCTTATGGCATAAGGATTTAATTTTGATGGAACAGCAGAGTCATGATAAGAACCCTCTATTGAGGAGTCTTCTAAATCAAAAGCGCCGCAACGATGGCTGAGACTACAACTTTCGCTTGCCCGATTTTGTTCGCGGCTCACACTTTGCGGGCAGTTTCGTGCCTTTCGTGGGCAGTTAAGTGAGTCCCCTGCCTGCCAAATGGAAAGACGAAACCGGAGAAGTTGACCAAACCCATCAAATAGGCCATGCTGGCTGGGGTGATTGACCCACGGGTCTGACCGACAGTCCGGACCTCCACCACGCTGGTCATGCTCACATCGGAGAGCGCCACCAGTAGCCGGCAGTAAAGCAAACCTGGCCAACGAGTCGAGGCGGCCTTTTGCCGGAACACAGGTTCAGAAGAGTCCAAGAGGCCAGCTACCGGAAAATTCGACAGATGTCCTAAACCCCCCACTTTGGGTGGGGATTGGCTTGTGCCTTGTTTCTCGTAGATGTTCCTTTCACAGTGGCTGGTTTCTGTGAAACATTGTTGCTTGGCGTTTTCTTTTTCTGGGCTGTTCAAAATCGATTGGCAAATCCACATCTGAAGGCATCATATTCGGACTCCGTGGCAAGGATCGAGGACAAAGGGCTTAACTCGCCCCCGTGCCCCCTTTCTGCGAAGGCCCGGGAAAAGTATGGCTAAAGTTTCCCTGTTGCTGAAAAAATGTGGTTGCCCGCATTTTTCCAACAGTGCCAGCCCTCCCACCCTGTATATGATTGCTTCTCAAACATAGGGACATATAGGCACCCTTTCAGCTAGGTAATTACCTGTTGGTTTCCCTTTGCAACTATCCCAAAAGAGGGTCGATGGGGGTCGCCTATTTGGAGACAAACTCATGCACTGCTTTCCTCCTGGATGCCGGGGTCAAGAGCGCAGAAGGCAAGTGTCCCGAAAATGCGAAAGACCGTCTCTCGAAAATTGGCGATGCAAAATGCTGACAAGTGGATCTCCAACTGTTTTCGAAGACAAGCACCCCGCCCCCCACCAGACCGAATGTGTATCGGCCAACACGATGGGGAGCCTTAAGGGTTTTGTTGGCCTATCGTGGACCAACTCCACCTCGCACCGGTTGGTGTGTCTTGGCAGTTTCGAGCTTCATCCATCCCAACCGGCGAGCTCTGTCTTGCCATCCCAAGTAACCTGCAAATTCACGTGGAACCTTAGGTGGCCCCAACAAGGCGATCCCTCTAAAACCAGCACGGCTTTGTTGGGTTCCAGGTTCAGGGCCCGCCCATTCCAAGCCCTCAAAAACCAAGACCCTCCACAAACACGTTGCAAATAAAGCCCCCCGCCCTCAAAAGAAAAACACAACAACAACCCTAAGTTCGGAGAAAAACTGCCCGAAGTGTCCCCCCCAAACCTTCCCGCTACCCAAAAAGGGCTCGTACTTCGACCCTGCAGGCCGGCTCCACGCTGCTCCTCCGGAAGCCGAATGCAGTTGCCAAAGTCCAGCAGCACCGGGACCTCTCGCAGTCGCTCAAGAAGCGTCTCGAAAAAAGGGTAGATGGTTCTTTCCTACGGCTGGTTTTATTTATATACTATTTGTTATATATATATATACACGCATATAAACAGAACCTGGCCAAACTCTGACCTGAGTCGCAGTCAAAACCAGTAGAACAGCGCTCGATTCTCCGCGCGCGTTGGGACTGGAGATGGCTCAGGAGACCATCTTTTTCTCCTTTCCTGAGTGGACTGGCCAAAGAGTGTGAAGGTGTTGATTACAAATAACATATTCCCCTATGAATGAATAGATGCATCCTAGTGCTACCAACTTTTGCCAGATCCCAAATCACCAAATTGCTAAAATAGAACTAGGCAATGCTATCGCAAGTCTAACTAACATGTATTTTGTTATGTGCCCTTTAAATGTGATAAACGATTTCATTGAAAGTTCCTCGGCAAATTACGATGGCCGCTTTTGGGCCTGGCACAAGGGGAGTCCCATTACGAGGACGGAAACCCCCCAACACCCTGTTCAAACATATGGTTCCGCCCGAAAGAGGCTTTCCATTTAGGGGGATTTATCATTAGGGAGGCGACCAAAAACGACCCAAAAGTCCTTGCTCCTTCGTGATCTATACTGGTGTTTCCAAACTAGGTGTTTGGGGGTCCCTACAAGCGGGCCATAGAAGTTTCCGAAAATGTTGAAACCATAAAAGCAAAAAGGGTTCCCTGTTCTAGAACAACCGGACCGACATTTGGGTATGTGTTAACACTGGGGACTCTCTTCCTGTTGACCCATGACGCGGGCTTGTGTCCAAAGGGGGGAGGCCAAACCTGCAAAATGAAGAATGGATGACTTACCTTCGACTTCACAAGAGACAACCCCAAAAACAGAGTCATGTGTGCAAGTGAGGCCATTCCTTCCTTGCAGCTGAGACCCCCACTGCAGAGCTGCCCTGGATCTGGCAAAGGAGGTTCCCTCCGTGCCTCGCTTCCAAAGCTGAGATCCAAAGATGCCTGAATGTGTAGTGAACATACATATCTATGCATAGAGTGTACTTTATATTGCATCAGTGTAATATATATATAATGTAAGTAGATACTGGGGTGTTCTTTTTGACGGTACCCTTTTTTTGGGTTGGGCAGCAGGGAAACCACAGGGAAGCCACCCATTTTGGGGACGCCACCCATTTGGACCGGCGCTGATTCTCCTGCTGCACTGGGGAAGCTGAGGCCTTGACGGATCGGAGTTGAAGACGCCAATCTCCAGGAGCTGAGAGGCGACCGCATGGACCGCACGCTCCTCGGCGTCTGGCGGGACATCGGTCAAAACATGTGGGTATGTACGTGTCAAAATAGAACGACCCGAAAAATTGTGGTTTTCGTTTTTTTGTTGCCCTTTCAGCCAGGCTGAAAAGGGCACCACCCTGAAAACGCACATTCAAATCCACTGTGGATGAACAAGTATACTGTTAGAAACACACCAACTGGTGCAGGATTCTCCATCCACACTAGCTTGCTTCCCTCCGTACAACCACTCTGGGTGGCTTCCCATTGGTTCCCTTTAATCTAGGGATCCCTGCCCCGAAATGTTGACTTCAATGGAGTTGCAAAATGCTGGGCCAGTATGGCCTTGTATCGGGAGTTCAGAACCTGATCCCTCTTGGTTTTCAAGCAAGCCACAGTCCTTTGGACAATTCAAAAATATGGGCGTGTCCCAAAATAGGGAATCGTTTGTTAGATGCTGTTTGAGCGCTCCCAAATTGGAAATCTAGTTGTTGTATTTAGGTTAACAAAAACTCCTGTATGACATGGAAACCACTTGCGGGCAGCTTGCCGCGTCTGGGGGCCCTATCACAACCCTGTAAAAGTTTGGAAGAAACGATGTGTGCAAACTTTCTACAGACCCTACAAGCCTCGTGGAAGGTGTAGACATCCTTAAAACGGTCGAGTGTTGCACAGTTCGTGCGCTCCACATTTCCCCTTTAAGCCGCCCAAGGAAGAGCGCGCACACGTTTGGTTTAGGATGGGCCTAGGCCGAGGGCTGATCAATTTGTGCTGGGGGGGGGTGTTGCTTTAGGGCTGGTTTCGGGCAAGTGCAGTGTGGGAGAAGGCACATCGGACTTCGGGTTGGTTTAGCGCGAGTGTTTATCTGGGTTTCGGCTTGGCTCTCTGGTTTGGTTGGCACAGGTGGGTTGAGGCTTTGTGACATATGGGGGTGTTCGAAAACAAGGGGCCTGCAAAAACGGTGGTTTTCCGTTTGGTTTCCCTTTCAACCAAACCCCCAAAACAGGACCCACAAAAATAGACAGGCCATTCCCAAACAGATTTGCCAAGGCACGCTGAGACCTTTCCGATCCACCCCCCATAGAGCGAGCAGGTCCAAGTCCGTGAACCTGAAGCCCTGGAAATCGGACATCGGGCTCCCAAGGATACATTCGGATTCGCTTTGGGACTTAGGCTGAGGTTTCCTTTAAAGGTTGATCGAGTTTCGGGTTGGAAGCAAATCAAAAGCACACCCGAAATGCGTTTGCGGGTCCATGTCGCATCTTTTTGCGGGATAATTACCAGCTGGGGCCAGCCAGAACATCCAGAATACCAGCTGATTTGGGATTTATAATGTATCCGTCTACCGAATGGGTCAAAAAGGAATCCTAGGGAGAGCAACTGCTAAGCCGCTAAGCCACCTGGTCGGTGCATTTCACCTAAAGACGTGTCTTCAGTCTGGCGATCTGAATGTGTCGCAACGAGCCCCGTCAGTTTCCTCAGCCTCATTGCATGGTGCCTGTGAAAACAAAGGAGGCGCTGGTAAAAACCATGCTCCCCTCTTACTCAACGATTCATGTCCTCTTTTCAAGAGGGTCCTTGGCAACTTGTGTTTTTGAAATCTCGCAAACTTGTGGCTTCCTTGGTTTCAACTCTGGCTGCTTGCTGAACAGGTCGCAACCAGCTCAAAACCGTCCAAATTTCTTTGCGCAACCTCACAGGGTGCCTCGCAGAAATCCATGATGAAGGCGCGCCGGGAAACATGCCCTGCGGAAGCAGGCGCGTGGTTTTGTACAGCGTAGAATGACGAGGACCCCAAAAGAACGACAAACAAAAAGAGACCCCCCACCCCCCCCCAAAAAAAAGGGGGCATCCTTTGGTTGTTCTTTTAGACCAAACCCAAAAAGGGTACCATCAAAATGGTTCCCCCCCCCCCCCAACAAAAAAACGGCTGGCAAAGCACAAAGGACTTCCACACCTCCTCTTGACCCATCGAACCCCCGCTCACCGGCCAAGTACGCGCTCGACATAAAGTAATGAAGTTCGAGTGTTCTGCTCCGAAAGGTCCATCATATGGGAATGTGTCAAAATACCCAACAAATGATTAGCTTCCATTTGGTTCCCCTTCACCCTCAAAGAGCAAACAAACAAATAAAGAAACAAACCAACAAAGAAACAAGCAAGCAAGCAAACAAACAAACAAGCAAGCAAACAAACGAACACACACGTTTTACGTTTTGGATACCCTCCAATGGTGCAAGAACCCGGGGACTCATGTATTTCAATCAGGAACGTTGAGTGACCTGCAGCCTCTCAGGGAGTCACAAGGCGTTGAGACCGACCCTATGAAGGAAACTAGGGATGCTTCAGTTTGGGGGTATTCCCTGTTCCTGGAAGCATGGAACCAACCAGCACAACAGTAACCATAAACATCGACATGGAACGGGCTTACGTGCCCTTCCGTCAGCCAACATGTCAGGCTGGTTTGGACCCTTTTCGCCGTCTGGTCGGTTCTATGGTAAGCTGGACAGGAGGGTACTTTGATATATGTTCCCCTAAAACGTCACCCAACGGAAACTCATCCAAAAGTGCCCCAGGTGGACCCCTCTTCCCGCCTTCCAGCTCTTGCGGCACCACAGCCTCCACGCCAGCCTCTTTCAGCCCCTTCCGCACCTGACGGCGCTTTCGAAACCCCAAGCCGGCGGTTTTGACTTCAAAACTGAGCTGGGGGGTTCTCAGCCTAAGCTCCAAGATTGTGTTAGGCATTGACCCCTTCAAGTGGTTGGTTTCATGGAATGGTTGGTGTCCTTTTTGGCCTCCCAGGATCCATCATTTTGAGAAATCCCCAGGTGCATCTCTGGGGGGTTCATGGATTAGTACCCCACAACGGTGAATGGCTTTCCTTCGTAGATGGCGCTGTCCCTTCGTGTCCGTGAAGATGAATGAAGAGGTGCCATCGTTCGCCCAACTCTATCGCTGGGGGTAAACTGTTGGTCCTGTAGATAAGAAATCTCCGACTCCAATCAACGTGTGAAACAAGCCAATGCAAAGCACTGGGCAAGTGTTCCGCATGGCTCCTTTAATGTATTAGTAGTACAAACTTCAAAGGCTTCCTTAATATAAAAGAGGAAACGGGCATGTAGTGGCTCGGGACGTAGGGAGCCTGACAAAATGCCGAGCACATGCTGAAAGCACCCATGCGAATATCAACTCCTGGTGTCCCCTTCAAGGACCAATCCCGAAGCCAGTTTTGTTTTATGCCGTAAGGTATCCTTCAAAATTGGACCATCGTTTTTACTACATTGTGCGTCAGAATCAGGAACGCCTGTTTGGTAAGCTTGGGAAGGCAGCTTGCCACGTGTTCAATCGTTTCAACCTGAAAACCAATTTGGCCCAGCGATTCGCCCCAGTCTGACCAATCCCCTCCCGCTGGTCGGAAAGTGGGGGGGCCGTGCCTCTCGAAGGTTCTCCACCTCCAAACATGCGCCAAGGCCATGGCAAAATGGATAGCGAAAAGGGAATTTCATACGAGCCATAGTCAGTATTCATGCCGTCCCCCTTGACATGATAATTTGGTGACTAACACGCATTTCGGTAAGGCATTTTGGCGTGTATCCAATGTCATCCCCTTTTCTGCCAAAGATGACAGTAAATATAGACCATTGATCAGACAGTCTGAAAGGCTTTCGAAGGTTCCAGATGTGTGTGGAACGGTCACATTGGCGCCACCCGAAGTGGAGTTCTAACAAGCGCGTTCTATGGTGCTACACATCGGATTGTCCCGGATGCAAGCTGGAATCCCTGCCAGAGACCCTGCAAGCCCGTCAGCATGGTGCTAGACCCTGAAAACGTGCCATACGTGCCTGTGCCTAGTTCTCTAAATCACTGAACACAAACCCCTCAAGCGACTGCCCGCCGCCTTGTCAAAGAGATGACAGCCATGTAAACCCCAAGGCCCACAATGCGAAAAACCAAAGAGTAGTTCAGAGTAGTTGGTTGTTCCCTCGTCCCACAAAATAACACCAGCCTCATTTCCACCTCAGTGTTTCGACCCGTCGGCCTCACGGTGGAAGTCCAGTTCATGGACCATCTCGTTCATCCACCCTTCCGTCATGCTCCTTGCGTCAGCAACGCTGGGCAATCGGAATGTGGTAAAACGGAGCTGGACATTTTTGGGGACGCATGCTTAAGGAAACCAAAATTGGGATGTTGTGCCTTTCATTCATGGTCACATGAGCATTGCTCGACCATGACTCGAAGGCTATTGGCACAGGCCAACCTTAGCTAACGGGAATCCTTGTAGCAATTGATCATGGACCCCAATCGTTCAACGAAGGGATTTTGAAACTTTGGGCCTCGTGTTGTACCAACTTCGTTGTTGCTTTTGCGCCGCCTTTGCAGACATTCGGGATCCATCTGAAGGATATGTCCAACTTGACAACCCGACCCCACAAAACAAAAACAAGCGTCTGTGCCAAATAGGACCTTCTTTGTTGGTAGTCTCCTGTTCTCCGATTCAACCAACCAGGACCATGTTGCAACCCTTTGCTCCCTTGCTCCCCCCACAAAACACACACACACACACATGCGTCAAGCCCTGCGCTGGGGGCCACACTTGATGTCGTCCCAGTCTCTTCCCCCGAGCCAGCAGCTGACGGCCAAAACGCGCCTGGACCGTTGAGTGGGATGCATTCTGCTTTTGTTTCCGTGTTTTTTCTTCTTTCTTTTGGGGGGGATCATACATTCTGATATGGGGGCACGTTTCAGGTTGGTTACCAAAAACATGCAAACTCCATTTTGGGGTCACACATTTTTCACCAGCCATGCCCAGATCCAAAGGGAACCGTGTTGGTCCCTTTGGGAAGCATTCAAAGGCAGTGGAAAAAATCGCCCGACAGCGACAACACGGATTTCGGACAAGAATCTACCCAGCAAACTTAAACATGCCCCTGGTTGATTCATGATGAGGGTCCCATTTTGGAGCGATCCTGCACTTCCCCAGATATGAATGTCAATTCGTATTAACTTCTCTGGAAGGGCCATATTGGGCTTGTCTCGAAATAGGGGAGACCCCAACATGCTTTGTTTCCTTTTGATTTTCCTTTACACAAGCCCAAGAAGGGTACCCTCAAAACAAGACACACCAATATACCAGCGGGTGTGTCCAAAAGTTTGTGAGAATTCCCCTCAGGAAGCTTCAGGAACAGCTTGCCAAATTTGGTTTCCTATTCTTTGGGTGGCCCCTGAGCAAGGGTTGAACAATTCGACCCGTTCCGCTAGATGAGACAACTGGTGACTCGGGTCTCGGTCTTCGGGAGTTTCCGTAAGCCCATCATGTCCTCGGCAACTAAGCGAAACATACTCCATGATACTGTCAGCTGCTGATATGATGCACAAACATTCGTTGCCGCCAAACTGGGGAGCACGGCTTTGCGTAGAACACGGCGGCAACCCAAACACGGCGTGGAAGGAAGACAAGGAGCACTTGCCACCCGCAAAAAGTTGGCAAACCAGTTTTTGGACTTGCCTTTTTGAGGCGCCTTCACCACGACTTCAGCTAGATATGAAGCAGAGGCACCCGCCAAACTTTGTATGATTGGTGTGCATGCTCATGAAGCCCAAAAACATGCTAACTTTGTGGGCAAAACTGTTGATTTTGAGCGAAAACCCCTACATTTCGAGGGTCGCACGTAATTAAAGGCCAAGGTTTCCTTTTGGACAACAAGTAAAGATGGCACTGGCAAATGCCTATGCTTAGAACCGAAGTGTGAAGCTAGTGGAATCCAGCTGCTTTCAACCAAACTGACTTAGGACCCATGGTCCACTTTTGAAACGGAGTTGACGCAACTCTCCGAAAATGGCCTCAACCCGCGAAGGTCCAACAGCATCATCCTGAGTGCGAACAGGGGATATACCCTCGGGGTTGAGCATACACCGGTTCGTAGGTCATGATTCTTTTCTCCGCAAATGCTAAAGGTGCAAAGTCGAAGTTTTGGCCCATGGGTGATGTTTAGGGAACCCAAAAAGAAACCAACATGACGTGTCCATCATGTGACATAAAGTCGGACCTTCGGTGTGGCAAAACAGAGGACTACTATTCTTTGCTTTAGAACCCCGTTGAGTCAGAAGGGATCCTTTGCCGAGACCTCTCATTGTGCCTCTGCTGATTTAGGGGTCCTAGCCATGAGATGCCTGCCGTACGATCTAGGCTTGACTATCTCATCTTAAAGGCTTGAGGCTTTTTGAATATGCCCCATCTGATCGTTTAATACATTTAAACCAAGAAACCACAACTGCAACCTGCAAGACTAGTTGAAAGTTGGGCAAGAGAATCGGCAAAAGCGGCGATTGGGGTCAGTGGCTGCCAAGTCATCCTGAATCCTCCCGGTTCCGAACACCTTCCCCATCGGTGGGCTCCACAATCAACCATTTGCCACAGGGGCAATGGCTTGCAAGTGGAATTCCAGGGGCAGTCGAAAGAAGGCCTCCCCGGATCAACTCATGTTTACACCAAGGTGAAACTGGATGGCACGATTCCCTTTGCCATGGGCGAAGGGAATGACTTGTACTATCTGCTTGACTTGGATTGGCAGCTGGAGAGCAGTTTCTCATTTACAAAAATCAGGGAGTCTGCAAAGGAACACCTGACTCTTGCGGTACCTATGCAAAGGTCCAGCGCTTCTAGGCAAGCCACTGGCTCAATAGGTAACACTTCGGTATCTTTATCTCTAGGTGTTGCATGTTGATGGTAGACTGAGCACTTGGTAAGGCTCCGGCGGCTCAACGCCCTCGTGCTGAAGCTTCACGGCCACTTGTTGGCCCGTCTCCTTCATGGTGGCCTTATGCACCTGCAATCCATCCCGACGGTTTCCACACCCAAACCACTGGGACCCAAAAATGGGGAAGAACACACCTTGGCTTTAAACCCACAAAGTGGAAACCATCTTTATGCCAGGCCGGCTGCATATGAGTCAACAACCCGCGCACACACACACACACACACGCGCACGCACACGCACACGCACACGCACACGCACACGCACACACACACACACACAAACACGCAAACACGCAAACACGCAAACACGCAAACACGCAAACACGCAAACACGCAAACACGCAAACACGCAAACACGCAAACACGCAAACACGCAAACACGCAAACACGCAAACACGCAAACACGCAAACACGCAAACACGCAAACACGCAAACACGCAAACACGCAAACACACAAACACACAAACACCACACACAGACACACAAACACACAAACACACAAACACGCAAACACACAGACACACAGACACACAGACACACACAGACACACAGACATAAACACACACACAGACACACAGACACACAGACACACACAGACACACACAGACACACAGACACACAGACACACCGACACACCGACACACCGACACACCGACACACCGACACACCGACACACAGACACACAGACACACAGACACACACACACAAACACAGAAACACAGAAACACAGAAACACAGAAACACAGAAACACAGAAACACAGAAACACAGAAACACAGAAACACACAAACACAGAAACACAGAAACACAGAAACACACACACACACACACACACACACACACACGCACGCACGCACGCACGCACGCACGCACGCACGCACGCACGCACGCACGCCCACGCCCACGCCCACGCCCACGCCCACGCCCACGCCCACGCCCACGCCCACGCCCACGCCCACGCCCGCCCACGCCCACGCACACACACACACGCCCACGCCCACGCCCACGCCCACGCCCACGCCCACGCCACGCCCACGCCCACGCCCACGCCCACGCCCACGCCCACGCCCACGCACACGCACACGCACACGCACACGCACACGCAAACGCACACGCACACGCACACACACACCACACACACACACACTGCACACACACACACACACACACACGCACGCACGCACGCACGCACGCACGCACGCACGCACGCACGCACGCACGCACGCACGCACGCACGCACGCACGCACGCACGCACGCACGCACGCACGCACGCACGCACGCACGCACGCACGCACGCACGCACGCACGCACGCACGCACGCACGCACGCACGCACGCACGCACGCACGCACGCACGCACGCACGCACGCACGCCCACACACACACACACACACACATTACGTGTAGCGCATGAGACGGCCAAGCGCAGCTGAGCATGTGTCGTGTTGCTATTTGTGGGCGTTTTAGGGCTTTCTGGGATACCCTTCTTGTTGTTGTCTTAACGGAACACCAAAGGCAAACACTTCTTTGGAGTCCCATTGAGACAAACCCAGCTGGATGTGTGGCGTACAGAGTGGGAAAAACTTGGTTCCCTGTTTGAACCCACTTGGTAGTGGAGCCAGTATGGGTGCTTGCTAAAATTGGCGCATCCCTGCAGATGGGCGATTTGTCTGTTCCCTCGGAACACCTTGCCATCTAGGCCCGGCTTCTCCTGGTCTCGAAGCAAACATCAAAATGGGACCTGTTTGAAGTAGGTCAGCAAGTAATAGTGAATTCCATCAGGGGTTGATTCGAAAGAGGAACAACTCAGCTTTGGACACAGAGACCACAACGCCACACCCATTTGTGGGGTTGGTTCTGAATGGGGACACGAAAGGCAAACTTAGGCTGGTTCGCCGGTTTACCCCCAGAAAGGCACCTAATTCGTTTGGGGTGTTTTGCTTTCTTTGCCATCCGCGCTTCGCGCCTGCGCGATGCTGGCGGACGCCACGGGCTCGAAGTCGAAGTCCTGAAAGATCTCCCGGAAGTCTTCCCCGAACTCCGCCTCACGGCCGATGTTTTCGCATCCGACTGGAGAGCACAGCTGGGGCCTCTCGAACGAAAACCAACGAAACTGGGGCTACACATTAGCCCACAAAGGAATGAGTGGGGAAATCCTGCGACAGGGAACCCTGGTTTGAATTCGCCATTCATGCGTGCATTTTGAGGGTGCCCTTGTTGGGTTTGTTTGAGAAGGGACCAAAGTGGAAACCTCCAGGTTGAAAACCCCGCCCCCCAAAACTTGCTGAACCCCAAGCAACCAGGGTTGGGTTTGTCTTCTTTGGAGGCATGAACTCACTGAACTGGAGTTTTGACCCATGACACATATAATATGGGTATCTGTCAGAAAAAAAGGGAATACACATTGGCACATTCCCCGTAAAATCCTTCAGGAAGGGACCTACGGGCGGTCAATTTTGGATCCGGGAAGCCTTTTGTGGCTATACATTTGGAAGGGTGTGATAGTTGACCGCCCCGCGCCTGCCACACAAAACACACTTGTTTATTCCATCCGAGGCTGAGCCGACAGTCTTTTCAAAACAGCTAAGACATAAACCTTTAACCGTGTCATCTCAAAGCAAAAGCAAAACAAGTGAAGCACAAAACAAGTGAATGAAACCCAAGCAAGGGCACCGTCATCTGAAAAACAGACAAGGGAAACCCCAAACAAGTGAAACCCAAAACCAAGGGCAAGGCTGGGCCAGAAAAGAACAAACATCCGCCCCCCCCCCCCCGGATCGATCGCCTCCAGGAGCTTCCTCACGTACGGCTCCTGGTCTCGTGGCGCGCAGTCCTGCAGCTTCTTCAGATGCTCCGTCCACACCTCGAGCCGTCGGGGACGGCTAACGCGCGACAGACGCAGTTGGATCAAACGGGAAGCCCAGAGGAATGCCTCCACTTTCGGGGGTAACCCCCTAGTTTGACGCCGTGATTGAGGAAACTCGAGAGCACATGGCCCTCCTAGCCCTTCACAGCAGCATTCTGGGCACACACCCAGAAGATGCACACACCATGATCGCATCATGTATCAACCTTCTCAAAACCAAATCCAGTCGTATGTGTCTGTGTGCGTCTTGTACTACATAGACTGTTACTCATCTTTGGGCAAAAGGCGAAGACCGCCACACGCTGAGGCAATCGCCACGGGGGTGGCCGCCATGTTCGCCAACCACTGGCCGGCCTTCACAAAGAGGCCACCCAGGGCCTCACATTGCCGGACCAACTAGCCCGAGGACCCGTTTGGGTGTTGCTTGCAGGGTACCTGTTTTGGGGTTCAAAAGGAAACAACCCATTTGCGGGATTCTTGCTGACAAAGCCAGTTCTGGTTGACTGTTGAAGGGAACAATGATTTCAGTTTCCTCAACAAAACGCTTATGACTCCACAAGATTGAGAACGCTTTGGCGAATAGTAGCAACCACCCTTTCACAGGAGAAGGAAACACACACCCCTCTGACAGAACAGACCAAGCAGAAGAGGCGGGCAATCAAACCCAAAACTAATGTTCACTGGATTCAGATGAAACAAACCATCATGCCATGGCGTCAAAATACCTGGGTGCTGAGCCACACTTCTTCACCAGATCGATCAAACAAGTTCTCGGGTTTGAGATGTATTGATTCCTTTCTTCCCAAAGGACTCGCCAGACTAGTCACTGGAAGGAATATTCATCCCCCACTGCACACGACTGTGTCCTTTGAAAGGGCAACAACACCAGCACCAGTGTCTTTGCTTGGGCCGTTGAAGGGGGAAGAATGAGGCAACTGTCGTGTAGGTGACTGGGTTTGTGGGGGCAGCTAGCAGGGATTTGTGAGAAGGGATCAAGGGGGCCGCCCCGGACAGGGTGGTAACTGCTGCGAATCCCTTGTGTAATACTGCTCAGAGCCATTGCAAGGGGAGCGGGAAGGTCCTGAATGACCCGAATGACCTTAGTCGCCAATATTCGCTATCAGGCTGCAATGGCTCCCTTTTCTGTGAATCCGTACATGGGCTTGTCTCAAAGCGGAACCCCCCGAAGATGCGGTGCCCATTTGGCTTCCCTGTTCGACCCCAAAAGCGCCGTCCAAAAGCACAACACCCGTTTGGCCTTCCTGAGGTTTCCGACGAAACGGAGGCTCTAAGGCTTCAGCGGCAAATCTGTTTGACAGAAAAGGTGCCACCATTCGATCTGCCGGATCCTCAGATCAGCACCCTCCGGATGCCTTCCGATGTGACAGGCCACACGCATGGCGTGGACTCAAATGCACACGTATGTGTATATGTGTATAATTCGCAATTTTCAGTGGAGCCGGCGAAGCCGGTTGGCAAAAGTTCCAAGAATGGCTCACTTTCAGTCCATGTTTATCTTGTCTTTATGTCTTCTATGTTTATGTTTTTCTTCTTTATCCTTCTCTTTTGTTTTCTCTGCGATTTCCTTACCTTTTTCTCTTTCTCTTTTTATACCTATCTATCTAGCAATCCATCTAGCTAGATACCGACCTACCTATCTTGCTATCTATCTCTCTTCTCAGTATCTACTTCATCAATCTGTCTATCTGTCTGTCAACCCTCTCTATCCATTTATCTATCCATCTATCTTTCTTCATTTATGTTTGCTTTCTATCTGTTTATGTGCCTGTCTATCTCTTTATCTTGCTAGCAGCTTAGCAGGTATCTGTTCGTGTATCCATCCCCGTCTCTCTTCCTATCTATCTATCTATACTGGCAGCAAACCGCTCGCCAGCACGTGACGGTCCAGCCCCACAACGGCTTTTTTTTGCCCGACATGTTTGACTCGGCCGTTGTCAGGGCGATGGGCTCGAATCCTTAGGTATTTGGGGGTACTCCGCCGCAGGAGTTTACCTTTGCACCTTTCAAAAGTTCCTTTGCACTCCACGCCCTTGTGGTCCTTTCATTTCCATTTTGTGACCCTTGGGTGATTCACTTGGGGTCGATTTTCTTACGTTTTCGCATTTCTGCCACCTGAGGTCTGCCAGGTGCAGCGGCGCGCGCAGGGAGCGCTGGCCAAGCTTGCACGGAGGTTGAGGGAGGCGGGAGGAGTTGAAACCGAAGGCTGGAACAGATTTGATCAGCAAGATGCCCGGGATGGAGGGGCGTCCTATGGGGTATGCATGAGTTCACACCGCCCGGGATGGAGGGGCTTCCTATGGGTTGCATGCCAGCTGCCCAGCGGGCCGGACCACCAAGCTGCAGGGACCCTTTCCAGAGATGTCCTCTGTGGCCTCCTCTGGCCTCGGGAAGCGCTGCGCCTGATATGAACTTTGCGCTTGCGCCAGTTTGCAGCCAATTCGGTTGGCAGCGTTGCCGGAATTGCAATCCGCGCCTCTGTGCAATCTGCGCCTGAGTCTACAAAAGCGCAGCACCATGGCTCGGAGACAAAAGGCAGCCAGCGCCAGCAAAGATCTTCGGGACCAATATGTCAAAGACAGATGAGCTGGCCAGTGTAGTGAGTCGACCACCCAGGACACGTGGCTGGAAAAGTACTTTTTGTCCTACACAGGCCTACTTTGAAGCTCATAAGGAAGGGCTTGGACCATTTCTACCCTGAGGGAGACTGGGAAACAAAGCGAGCTGGTGCAACATGGAACAAAGCGGAAGCGCATGGTCACGGGGAAGAAGCTGCTTTGGGGCTTCAGGGTATTGCGGGTAACACGGAAGTTCCTTCCAAAGTTCCTTTGTTCATAATATGTATACATTATATTATATTATATTATATACACACAGCAAAACAATTGCGTGAGACACATACGATGTAATCTATAACTTAAATGTCGAATGCATTCAACTGCGCATGCTGCCGCACGCTATGTGAGTTTCCGGCATACATCCACTCCGTCGCCCACTGGTCTGACAACTTGAAGGCCTGCCGCATCTCAGCACCAACCGATGTCTTCGATCGGCAGCAAGACAGGGTAGTCGCTTCTTAGATGGAAAAAATGTATGGCCCACCCAAAAGTGCAGACTTCCTCTTCGAGGTTCGCCAACCTTCTCCCAAAAAAGTCAGCTGTCGACCCTGTCGCACGGTGCCTTCTGGGTAGATTTGCAGGCAAAGTACAGTGCGATTGGGAAGGCTGCAGTGACCTGAGCAAAAAGTCTGGCAGATCCTTTGGACAATGAATGTTGTTAGCCTTCATGTGTGTTGAACGTGTGGGCCCCATTGGAATCTGGAGCTGGTCTTAGTTGTTGATTGAATCGGTTTAACACTCATGTCGTATAAGATACTGCCTGTGGCAACACAACGGTATTACTATGCGCTTGATTGCTACGCCGCGTCAACATGTCACTTTGCGCACCTGGCTGCAAACGACCGCCAACAGAACCAGAAACACAAACACCAAAAACCACCTCCTCTGTTTGCTAAGCATCGGGCATAGATCTCCGCCAGTCGCCAGAAGTAGCCTCGCAGCGCGCCGAACGGCCAAAAGCAGCTTCTCGCTACAACTCCAACTCGCCGGGGTTCTGGCGATAGCTCTGAAGCTTCCGGACATACGTGACCTTGGGAAATGCAAGATGGCCTGAAAAATGGCCCCCAATTTGGCCACACAAGGAAACCAATAGCAAAGCCATGAACAAGTCCAGTCTCTGTCAGCCTGAGGCTGGGACTAAAACGACAGCTAGCACACATGCCAGGGAAAGGCCTCACACCAGGATTCGTCTGGAAGCCGTTTTGGAAGGCCACCCTTCCTGTCGTTTTGAACTCCCCGTTCTACAGGCGAAGAACCTGTTGCTATCCGAAGCACGAAGACGCCCTTAACATAAGTTGGGCTACGATTTCCTTCCAAATGAAATGCAACTGCCAGCTTTTGAGAAGTGGAGTGAAAAAGGCGACGCCGTGTCCAAGGCCATCGCCTGGGTATTGCCGCGCCGCAGATAGCACTGCCGAGGTGTGCCAGTCAGGCAGACTGCGAAGGTACTGACTCGCGGCCCAATTTTCCACCCGCCAAACATGGGGTTTGAGCGTTTTGAGGGTGCCCTTTTAACCAAAAGAACAACAACCTTTGGGAGATCCCCTATTTTGACGGTTGCTCTAAATTCAATTGTTTTGAAGCTGCCATTGGCCAAAGAGTACTAATCACCGTCCCCTAGTTTCTAGAGCCGGAAAGTTGATACCAAGTTAGTACAAGACAAGCAATTCTGCAGCTCCGGCTGGCAGTATGCGGTCCAAAGGTCCTAAGGAGTTTAGTCGGTGACTATCGGTATTAGTTGAGGTACCTCCTCGAAAGGGTCGTGATAGGCCGCGATGGAGTTGCGAATGCTTTTGTGTTCATACATTCTCAAAAGTTGCTATCATTGCAAGTCAATGATATGTGAAAGCACTCTATGTCTTTCGTAAAGCCCTTCTTCTATGGTAGCTGAAGTGAACCTTCTGTTGCCGTTGCGGTTTGCCCGTGTAGGTGATAAAGCTTGGTGAGGTTACAGTTTGATACCCTGCTTGGCGGGCAAGTGTGCTCGTGGTCAGTAGCTCTACGCTCTGAAACGTGAGTGACTCTTTTCGAATCTTCATTGGAAGTACATGACATGGACCGCCTGGCTGTCCCCAAATTGGGCTGTTGCTCAAAATAGATGTAGCCTATGAGACAATGGAGGCGCACAATTTCCGAGCGGCCGGGCCTCTGAGGACATGAAATCCACAAAAATGGGCCCAGCTGTTTCCGTGTGCTTTCCCGCGCCCCGAAGCCCAGAATGAGGTCAGAATCGTGGACCCGTTTTCGAGTTGTGCAAACAACATGGGTCGTGGCTTGAAGCAAAATGTTGGGCCTGCCTCACGCACATTGCAAGAATCCCTGCTGGCACAGTTCTAAAAGCCTCGGTCGCCATGCGACTTGTGGCCATGCCAGACATTATCCACGTGACAATGCAGTGCCAGTACCGAACATCTGACTGCAAACCTCACTACCAGCAAACATAATGTCTCCAAGCTCCTTGAATCTCAGGCTTCTCAGCACCCTGGCATGATGATAGCAAAACACAACACCATATTTGGCCGAGATGACCTGGTTTGCAACTTTGCTTGAACCCAGCATGGGGAGATTCGTCCTAATCCTGATTTGCCTGCAAACAACTTGCTTCTCGTGTAGATTACAATTCTGTCCGATGGTCGTAATTGCACTCTCTGCGCAGGTCGAGCCCAGTTGCGTGAACCACCAAAGCGAATCTGCGACTGTTGGAGTGCTGATTAAGCTGCGCGCGCTCAGCCAAAGCAGCATCACCATAACAGCAGCTGACAACATCAACCGAACCTCAGGTGCCCAGGTCGCCAACACTATAATGCAAGAGCGCGAGAGAGTTGCCCTTGCGGTAAGCTGAATTGAGTCAAGACACCGGTCGAAAAAATGACAGCAGGAGGGCCTCATCTGGGTTTGTCTCAAAATTAGGCGGACCATTTAGTTGGGTTTGCAGAAAGATCATCCACTTGGGGGATCCCCTAATTTTGAGACACCCCCATGCGTGGCGCAAAGCACACAGGGCACTCGAAGCAAACACTGCAAACATCAGTGTGAAACTCTGTGCACTCAGGTCCCGACAATCAGCATCGCTGAGCCGAAAATCAACATCCAGTCTGAGAAAAAACTGGTCCTAGCGCCATCGAAGGAGAACGCTTGCATTGGCAACTACCTTCGAGTGGCTCAATTATGCTTGGGAGTTGGCTCACATACGGACTACTTGGGATCCTTTGAGTGAAGCTCAAAATGACCTAAGAACTTGCATGCTATCATCTAAGCTCGGGCTTCTGTATGTATAGTTACACCCTGGGATTGACGGAGAAAGACTCAACATTTCACGACATCGCAAGGTGGTGTTCCGGAAATTCCCAAACAACAGTCAGATTTCATGGGGGGCGTAGCTCCACGGGCTCACACAACCCTTAGATTTCCCAAGTAGCCTTTGGCGAATCCAATTCGCGAGCTACTTTCGCGTGCGAAGCGTCTGCGTCGCTGGTGAGCCTCTCCAGTGCCCCCAGGAAAAAGGCACAGCACAACAGCGCATAGCGGGTGGCCTTGGCAAGATGCCACCTAAACAAAAACAAAGCAAAACACACACACACACACCTTTCACGAAAAAAGCACACTCATCTAGGCCCTCTAGGCCTAGACGATGAGCGCTAAGCCACAGGCCAAGCCGAGGCAACGTTGCAGCCTCACGAATGAGCCGCAGCGCAGCTTTGGCTTGGACCCGTGCTGATTGGGGAAATGAGACCCCTGCAACCCAATTTGAACCCAAACACAATCCCTCTGGCAGGGAAACCCACGCAGCTCAAACGAGCAGGTCACAATAGGATGCCGGCACAAGCATGGCCAGGGAGAAGAAACCTTGAGCTGTCGCACTCATGACTTTCAAATTCCTGGGCCCATCAAGAATGCAGGGGTTCATCGAAGTACCAGGTTTCTCGGAATGAACTAAGCTTTCTATTTTAAACTAAACAGTTTTCCACATTCATGGACACCCCTCTGAGAGGGTGTCCATGGAGATGAGATGTGGCCTATTCCTGTCACAGCGCGCGCTGGGGATGCTTGCCGCGCTCAGGTTCTTGAAGCAATCGTTTCTCCGCAGCCATCACGCGATCCCACAGCCTGTCCAGCGGAAGCAAATGCTTTTAAGTCGATGCTGACTGGCAAACCAAGAGGTAGAACAGTGCCCAATCCCAGCCATTCCCCTTTGGCCTCTGCTCCCTCTCGCTGGGGGGCGAGGCCTGCCGCAGCACCCCGACATCAGGGGGTTTCGTGAGTTGCTTCAATAGGTCGCACCTGAATGGGGCTCCCGATTTGAGGAGCCTCAAGGCACCAAAAACATCCTAAGACACCAAGCGGGGACAAAAATGACTCCAGGGGCCGCGCCAAGATCGCTTGGATTTGTGCATGCAATAGTCCTGAGCATTTTGACTGAGGTCCGCGCGGGCTTCTTGGACTACCCCGAGAATTTCAGGGTGCAGCGAAGGCGCTGGGTGCTATGTGATTCCAAAGATTCAACGACATGCTGTCGTTTTGTCATTCACAAAATCGAAGAATGCCTGCAACACTTTTGGCCCTTTGAGGTTCCTTCACCCTGACCCTTCTGCCCGTCCTTGGAACTTCTGATCGTTTATCCACTCCGAACATCACCATTTGCAGACCACTTACATTGCTGAAAAAGCATCCAGCATGTAGCATCTGCGCGCAAGTCCCGCAACTCCAAGCGGCCTTCCACGTCTGAGCCAGGCGGTTCGGCAGGAAGATTCAGCCTCCGGAGGCAGCCCAAGGCACCCGGGGGGTGGAAACTTCATCTGGTTCCCTCTGATTGGTGGCTAGGGGATTGCCTGCTCCTTCAGCTTGAACAAGGAGATCAATCCGCAAAACCCCAACCACCAATCATAGCTTGTCCAATGAATTAAAACGTTTGTTGGACGCTTGCGGAAAGGAAAGCAACAGGCATTCTTATCAACACCACCGCCTAAATAGAAACGACTGCCTTGCCCTCACGCTGCTCTTTAGTTCCCGATAGATCTATGGTCCAGAAAGCCGGCCCTTTCACCAGCGGCTATGTGAAGGTGGCAGGATGAGAGCCTCCAAAGCAAAAATATCCCGAGATGCACGCTCTGGAGTCCGTGTCGCATGTGCCTTGCTTGCACGGAGAAACGTGGCAAAGCAGGCCTCTCAGTTGCTGCATGTCTCAAAATGCTGAACCTTGACAAATATCACTGTGAAAAGAATCCGGAGTGCCAACTTGGGTGGCTTGCAGGGAGTTCTACACGCAGGATTCACAAACAGTTCCCCCGAAGTTGGGACGTATGAGGCACGGTCCCAACAACGCTCGCGGATCCCAGGTCATTTGAGCTGTTCAAAAACCACCGGGTGGCTTAATGGCACAGCCCAAAAAGCAGGGTGGTGGCCTTTTACCCTTGGACTGCTCTATACCAAGAGACCGTCTGAAAGGGACGGCGATGCACCAACGCCCAAGCGACAGGGCAAACCGACGAGCCCCCGGCTGCAAAGGACCCAGGCATCGAGGCCATTGACATGGCCTCAGCGATTCCAACGGATCCAAGAGGACCATGTCGCCCCCGTGAGGTTGCTCACAATCCTGACTCTTGGGTGACGTCGCCCTTCGCTTTTCTCGAACGCTCGGGTGCGGACAGGAGTCATGCAAGCGCTAGACAGGGTCGATGCATTCAAGCTGTCGTTCCACCTCACTCAGCGCAAAGTGAGCAATACCTTGAGCGCTGAGCCATGTCGCTAAGGCATATGAGCCACATGAAACACGAAAGAATTTCAAGTCCGTCAGCATGGCGTTCTACTTCACCCGTCCCACAACCTTGCAACCTTGCTAAGCTCGAGGCTGCGGCACCGTACCAACTTGACACCGCCTCATACCAAGCTGAGAGAGCTAAACTAAGCCAAACTCCTTGCTGTCCACCATCGGGGGAGTATAAAGGAAGGGGGGAGGGCTTAGGGACCTCTGTGTCAAAAGGGTAATGCTCATCCCAAGTCAGCTGTCTCCAGAAATAAACATGGCTTGCACCAGATCGTTGCTTCCGGTTGGGGTGACCAACATTGACATCTCCTTTGGCTCTCCATACCGGCTTGAGGTGGCCCTCCTGTGGCTCTCCAGTCCATTGGCGGGAAACCACCCGGGAGTTGGGGGCTTGGAGTAGGCTTTGGCATGAAGTGGGCAACCAACACCCCTTGCAAGTCATGATACTTTGCTCAAAGAACATGGGGTACATCGTTCGGAGTGACAGGCATACCGGTACACCCATTGACAGGGGGTAGAGCCGAAGTCAATATTCACTGAGCCCACACTGACATGGGAATTTTGAAAAAGGGCACAGCTTGAAAGGAAAACTAGCAAAAAAGGACTGTTCCTCAAAGCCGTCCCAAAAGGAGTCCCATATTGTGACATCCCGCTCACAAGGTGAGCTTTAATGGGGACCACCCTTCAAAAAGGTTGGTGAACATAAACTCCTATGTAAATGACGCCCACCAAATGGTCCAACCAACTCAGATTCACACCTATGTTTTCCTTGGCAGGTCTTCACCTCACCAATTAAAATCAATTTCCTCTAGGGGACACCCGAAAATTCGTCAGTCCCCTGGTATTTGTGGGGGGAACTAAGTTGAGTTATGTTGAGTTCCCCGCTGTTCCGAACCCCAAAAGGACCATCTACCAAAACAGGGAGCCCCCCTTGTGGCATGTTTCAACGTACCAAAAGAAAACCAACCACTTGAAGGACCCGTCCCTAATTCTTGAGACACACCCACCTCACATATGTGAAAATAGGACCGCCCAAGCCCCAAACATACCTTTTGGTTCCCTTGAGCCAAAATGAAAAGTTGAAAAGGGTGCCCTCTCTCCCACGTTGCAATGGCACCTGACAGGGAATTAGGCCCTCCAAGTGGAAACTGATCTTCCAAGTACCCTCTCACTGTTGCTCGGACAGGAGGAAGGGTATTCATTTTATCTATACAGATGCAGTTTACTCTATGCATATATGGTCCCGGGCTCCGGGTTCCCAGTCCCCCCGCGCCCAATGGTATCCCCCCCCCGGACCATATATCCCCTGCATATGCACCTGAAAAGACACAAACCCATGTGCTGGGCCCGCCGGCAAGCAGCGCCGGCTGCTGCGCCCAGATGTGCACACGGAGCACTGGCCGCAGACCAACGAGCCGCAGGCGCCTCGGATTTGCGCACCTTTGAAGCGGCCGGCTCCCGAAACAGGCGCCTTTTTTGTTGCGGTCTTCCGGTAGTCTTCCCAGGGCCAAGGACAACCAAGCGGATTGAGCGATTCAAGCGACCCAAGCGACCCAAGTGACCGGAGTCCAAGTGACCCAAGCGACCCGAGTGACCCAACCAAGCGACACAAGCGACCCAAGCGACCCAACAGTGGGGGATATACACTCCCTCAGACTAACATGGAAGCTCCAAGAAGGCCGCTGAATGTGGGACCAAATCTGAGGGGGTCCTGGGAGCTTCCATGTTAGTCTGGGTGAGGGTGTCCTTTTTGGGGTTACTTTCACCGTTCTGGGGTTTCCCCCAGTTTTAAGACACCCCCTATGAGCCAGTCAATATTCAGTGTGTTTCCGACTATGGGACTTTGGCAAGCCCCCCTTCCTGTACAATAGCAATTTGGTGAGTTTGCTCATCATATGCTCGCGTTGAACACTCCGAGCAGAACAGCGGTACACTAAACCAGCTGTCTCTCATTTCGGGCACAAGGGGGCCCAGGCCCCTGGTGACGAGGGTCCCTCACCATATGTCCCTTCTAAACTTCACTCCAGAGAAATTTGCAAAGGAAGCGATGATTGAACCTCCCGAAACGGACATGTAGGGACTCGAAAAGACTATGCCCCTTTCTTCGAGCATCCTGTAGAAGGGTTCTGCACCAAGACAGGGTAGTAGCAGTTCCATGGTGCGTGTTGTAGTTCTCTCGGTTCATTGTGAATTGGCACACAGAAAAGCGGGGAGGTCAGAGCGGGATGGGGAGACAAATTGTGGCCTCAAACCTTCCCTCCCTGCCTTCCCCAGTCCCTGCATCTTTGTTACTTAAGACGTTTGTCCCCAAACTGCAAATTCGCAAAGGCGCCTTGCACCAATATCCATGTCTCGTGTCGTGACGGATCCCAGGTGAGCCTTCGCCCATCCCCATCGATTTCGCCATATCATCCAAAGTGCCCATGGTTGATGTTGTTTCGGGGGGGGGGGTCTGGGTCTACCACTCAAAGAACAAAAACCATGGGACGGTTGGGGTCAAGATTGGGCCTGTTGAAACATGATTCAAACCACTGTTGAAACACTCTTGAATCATTTGGAAACAAGCCCGGGACATCCTTCCAGCTTGGAGGGATGCGAGCGGCATTTGTGGCTCCTCGCCGGAATAGCTGGGCAAACGGGTCCCTAATATTGAAAAGCACGCCCATAGTGGTTTGAACAAGAAGTCCCAGGCCGTTTTCAAACACACACACACACACACACACACACACACACACACACACACACGACTCTGAGGGGCCGTTTTCAGACTCACACACAAGAACTCCAAAGAGCCGTTTTCGGACACACACACACACACACATACTCACACATGAATATATATATATATATATATATATGTATATGTATGTATACACCTATACATATGCACGCCCTGAACCGCACCTTCAAACAAACTGAGGCTAGCAGGTCCTGATATATTGTGTATGTGTGTATGTGTGATTGTGTGTGTGTGATTGTGGGGCCTGTTCAGAGTACTCAGACTTATCTCTACACTCCAACTTCGCTCGTGACCGAGTTGGGGGAAGACCGGAGTAGGTTGTGAGGAAATGGGGTGGCCTCCTCCTATCCACTAAGAATAGCTCTAAGATTGTAAGTTGGTCGTCCAGGAGTACGAGTGTCAAAACCAGGAAACCGGAAAACCGCTGACTTTGTCTTGCTTTCCACCAAACAGGGACCATTGCGTTTTGACATGTTCCCGCATGAATCTTGCCAGCGTAGCTGGGATATGGGCTTCCCAATTGGCGTGCCCAAAATCTCCGGACCTCTTTATGGTGGTTGCAGGGGCACTAAAAATCTCCCTGTTTTATTGATCTGATTCCTGCTTTGTACGAATGCTTGTTTAGTAGACATCATTACCAAGGAAGTTTACGAGGGGCATTCCCATGTGAGCCACGAGTAAAATTAAGCAGATGTTGGCAAAATCAGCGAGCTCCAGAGTTTTATGGGTACATTTAGTGAGTCCCCCCACGTCGCTCCCAAGCAAACTATAGACTACGAGTAATTTGGACCAAACCTCATGCCATCTCGACCCGCTGAGCATTGGACGGCAGTGATGCCTCTGACGCATCAAAGGAAGCCATGCACGGCCGCACAGCGTCTGGCGAGAAAAATGCGAAGCCCGCCAATGTGCCATGGTCAGAAGTCCTTATGTGGGTCATGGTCTTCCTACAATACCAACCCCAAGTGAGGGGTCTTTGGCCCTGGCACGAAGGAGCTCGTCGCTTCGAATATATGCGATGGATTCCCTGCTCCCCGCGGTAGAATTTCATGGAACCCACAAATGCAGCGGCATGTTTATTTGCCAGGGTTTTGTAGTGGTTGCAACTCAAAGGCAAGCAACCCTCGGGGTCCCAGAAAATGACCCCTACCTTGCAGTTCATTCCAGTGGTTGATTCCTTGACCAACAGGATGTTTGAAACACCCCAAATGATGAAACCCTTTGGAGAGAATCAACTGTGCCATTCTCCTCTGGTGCTTCTTCTTCAAAAATAAAGGACGGCCTCATGAAAACCCTCTTGAGCCCTTTCTCCCTGGTGCTCAATGAAACCCAAAGGACATCGTTGCCACCTGGAGAGGCTTACGCCTTTTGAGAATACACTGCATATGCTCGTGGAGAATCGGAAATTGCTGATCTTCTTTAGGCAGGTCCGGAGAGAAAACAAGCTCCCTAGCGTGAAGTCTGGAAATAAGGAAAGGGGGGTTGTTGCTGCGTGTGTCAAAGGTGCTTTCAAATGCTCAAGGGTTGCAATTTGCCAGCACTCAGGAAACCTGAAGCTGTGACCCATTTCAATGTGACGGCTGAGTATTGCCTTGGCTTGGCAAAAAGTCCTTCGTGACCCAGGAGTGAATGATTGCCAGGAAATTCATTGCGGAGTCGCACCTGGCCCTTTTCCGTCAAGCATTGCGAGGGGTCAAGTATTGAAGTATCAAGTTCAAACCGGCGTTCATGTTGCAGTCCCCACAAAACAGACCAAGAAACATTCCTTCATCGGGGCTTCCTGGCTGCTAGAGGCAAACGGAGGTGAAAGAACCCCGCCCCCCGGCCCATGTTGGGAGTCCGTGCGCAGCTCAGGGAGGCATCGTTGGGCATCCAGGACATAAAGGACTGCGTGGACCTTCGGGCAGGATGGGCAGGGTATTCCTTTTGAACATGCGGAAGTAGCCAGAGAAGACCCGCATTGAGCCAGTGCTTCCAATTCATGGGAAGATGAGGCGTGCAACCCCAAATCCTTGTGGCAAATTAGCAAGTGATTGCACCGATTGACCGCTCCCCCCTGGAAAGCTTAAACAGAACCTTCCAGGGCACGTTCACAAGCATTGAACACCGTGACAATCAAAGGAATCCCCTTCAGGTTCTTCCGTTCAACCGAACGTTGGTTGATTGGGAGGCTGCGCCACCGCTCGATTCCGAATGTCAAGTGCATAACGCCGCAGCGCAGCAGCTTGGATTTCTGCGAGGCCAAGTTTGTGGATGGAGTCCAGTGTATCGGGGCGCCAGCCCCCCAGGGTCTGAAGCCTTCCCTTCGCCTTGTAAAACACAGCCATGCCTCCTCCAGGCGCCAAGTTCTTCACGGAGCAGGTCACCCAGAGTCTGGCAGCGCCCCAGCCAAACGGCCTTGTCATCGGTTCATCTGTGACTGTCAGTGTGGTCAATCAATCCTCAGGTACTTCGCGCTGAGCATCTCCTCTTCCGTGCGCTTGGCTTCCTTTTGCTCTCCCGTTGCTTGTACATTGGACATGTTGTTTCCGTGATTTCAGCATATTTCAGCGATGTCACCAAACCCTTCCATCGCTCACTACGGGCTGGGACTGCAACGTCTTCTCCTGCGGCTTCTGGTCCACAGTCGGCTCGCGTTCTCGTTGGCCGGACCGCTTTGGGCGGTGCCCAAGTCGGCATTCTTGTCCTCTGCCTGGTTGGTCTTTTGCTAGTGGCTGCAAAAAAGACAAGCCTTAAGTGTGGAAACCCTCATTCTAGACGTCACAAAGCGGTCAAAAAGTGATTTCGGTCACAAGTTTGTGCCTTGGGCATGAACTGGCACTGAAGCTGGACCATCTTCTGGAAGGGCTGCAACAGTGCAGACTTCAGCTGTTGACCGTGCGGCTCTAATATGCGCAGCGCCTCAGCTGCTGCCTCCAGGGTGGACACGCAGCCTGGCGCTGGCTGCCGCCGCCACATGTACCCGCTCTGCTGAAATGGGATGGTGGCCCTGGGCAAACGCTTCAGCCACTCCGAGCGGTTCAGCATGATGCGGGCTTGGTCCCACCTCGCATCAATCAGGATCAAACTCAGCGGAGTCTCGGTTCTCGACAACTCCACCGCATCTCGGCCTGGATACAGCAAAAGCGGCTGGGCTTTCAGCTGCTGGTGAAAGTTTGGGTCCTTCTCCGGGTCCGGGAACTCCTTGGCCACCAGCTTCACCACCCGCTTTAGGCACAGCTGCAATAAAGGCCCAGTGCCCAGGGCCCGTTTCGCCTCCTTTGGGTGCGTGAACAAGGTAATTTGGGTCCGTGACTCCAGCTGTGCCGCAGGCAACGCACCGCAAAGGCACACCCGCCATGGCCGCGCGCAGCGCGGGCAGCGCTTGGAGGAATGCTCTCCCTGGCTTGTGGCTCTCAAGGCCCGTCGGGACGGTCTCCTGCAGGGTTGGGCATCCTCTTGACCTCTCTGGGAACAATTGGCATGCCTCCCAGACCAAACCTGCACTTGTTGTTGGGGAGGGGGGGGAGGGGGGCAAATGTGTCTTTCTCACCAATAAGGTAGCCCCGAAACCCCGAATTGGACCGCCCTCCTTGCCAGGCAAATCCCAAGTATGCCGCATGCCATCGGGCGCTTTGATCCGCATGGCACCGATGGCCTCCGGTGCTCGCAGTGACGCCAGTCGTGTAGAGCAATCGGACCGAGCCCATGGCTTTTGCCAGCGCAGATCTGCATGGCAGGCCCCTGGAACTTTCAAATCTGAATGCGATGTTGCGACATCAACTTGGGCTGGCAAGCGGCGGTCTTCCCTGCTTGGAAGATCGTTTCAGTAGGGGACCGAGGCATATTTGCAAGCTTCCCTATACTCCAGGGAGGTTGACAACGGTAACGAAATACCAAACACAGAATAAGGAATCTCGAAGAACTTCTAAAGCTGCAAACCAACAACACAAGAAACAAAGAACAAGGAACCCCTTGTAAACCCTCAACAATTCCCAAAAGTAGCAGAGGTAGAGGTGCTGTTTTTTGTCTAAACTAGGGCTGGCGTTTTATTGGTGCTTGTTGGCGCTGGCATCCCCCAGCATTGCCTGGACCAGGGGCCTTCTGGGTATCCTCTCCTGCTGGGGGCCAAACTAGCATCCCCAGCATCACCGCCCTCACTCTCTCTCTGAGCCGGTGGAAGTTGGGAGTTGCTCAGGGTTTGAATTGGGGGGGGTGAGTTGTTTTACATGGGGGGGAGGGGAGGCTTTGGCTGAAAGGGCTGATATCTAGGCAGCTGTTGGGTGAGTGTGGGGTGCTTGTGCTTGCGGCTGTTTTCGCAGTGGCTTTGCGGTTTAATGCGGTTTAGTGAGTTGTGGGCTAGTTTTGGTGGTTTGGGGCAACGCTCCACCAACCAACCAACCAGCCAGCCAGCCAGCCAGCCAGCCAGCCAGCCAGCCAGCCAGCCGACCAGCCAGCCAGCCAGCCAGCCAGCCAGCCGACCAGCCAGCCGACCAGCCAGCCTGCCAGCCAGCCAGGGAATCAGACCAAAGAATAAACCAGCCTGAGGAAATACAAACACTTCATACATTCCAAGTGTCCCAGGAACCAACAAAAACCAAAACAACATCCCAAAAAAACAACCACCAAGGAAAGAAGTAAGGAACCCCGAACCCCACAGCTTCCCAAAAGCCTTCCCAGTGAATCCCAGTTGCCAATTTGTTCAATATGGCAACCAGCCGTGTTCCATGCCCTTAGCAACTCTAAAATGGAATCACTGGACAACAAAAAAACAAACCAACCAGCTCCGGGGTCCATGAATTAAGCCTGGGGGGGGTCCATGAATTATCGTGGTAAATCAAGGTGGGTGTGTATGTGTCAACATAAGGGGACTCCAAATGGGTGGCTTGTTGTTCTCGGTTTCCCTTTAAACCAACCTGAAAAAGCGCACACTTGAGAAAACGTACCTTCCCGTCCACGTTGCCATTTAGGAAAATGGTCTAGCCAGGATACCCTCAAAAAGCACACAAACAAACAAGCAAGCAAGCAAGCAAGCAAGCAAGCAAGCAAGCAAGCAAGCAAGCAAGCAAGCAAGCAACCAAACAAACAAACAAACAAACAAACAAACAAACAAGCAAACCAGCAAACAAACAAACAAACAAACAAACAAAACACACATAAACAAACAAACAAACAACCAAACAAACAAACAAACAAACAAACAAACAAACAAAACAAACAAAACAAACAAAACAATCAAAGCAAACAAAACCAACAAACACAAAAACGGCATCACGTGGTACGACTCTCTCTGAGGTCAGGACCTCTCACTACCTGCCCGTCCCTCCGTCAGCTCCGCCGCAGCCTTCGCCGCCGCACCTCGGATTGCCCCTTCGATGACTCGGACGTGGACCTCTCAGGTACACCACAAAAATGTGATCTCAGACTCTGTTGAATATGTAGACCCTAAAATATACAATGACTCCGGTTGAGCGGTTGCTTTTGATTTGGTGGATGAGCCACTTTTGACGTTTGTTTATTTTGACTGCAGGTGTGGTCCGTTCCCATAAATGGACACGGGAGACATGGATAGGCCCCTTCATTGTCGTAGGTAACTTCCTCTGAACCAGCACAAACGTTGCATTGCGCATTCACAGAACTGAGAGGCTAAGAGGTTTCTTCTGGAGCTGAAGGCCGCAATGAGGTTTCGTTTGGGCCACTACCGCTTGCAGACTGTTGAAGCCTTTCGATATACCAACCAAGAGGTTGCCAACAGTCACACAGCCATGGGGTTGGCGTTCAAGCATGCCTGCAGCAAACAATCCCATCTCCGAAATGGCGAGATTGTGCTCAACCAGAAAAATACGAGATCGTCAAGTGAGGCTTCTGCATCATTGAATCCCTGCAGAAGGTGATCTCATCATCAGAGAATGTTTCAATACAACACAGACCCATGCAAGTCCACATGTTCATGTTGCTGCCCCATAAAATGGTCCAAATGTTTGTTTGGTCTTTTTGACCCATCCCCCTTGTAGATGGGGGCAACATGACGCCTTTGATGCATCCCCCAACGGATCAGAATCGAATCGTTTGACACACGCCCGCCTCCACATGTCCACAACTCCATTTTGAGATGGGTTCAAACCAATAAGGATGCAAAGGTTGATCCAGGTCCAGCGTCTAGACTTGGGGAAACAGAGACTTACTCTCATGGTTGAATTTCAGCCAGTTACCATGTCCCTCACCACAAAAAGACTGTTGACCGGAACTTGCGACCACTTCAGCTAGCTGCCCTTGCTTCGGCTAGCTGCCTTTGCTGGGTAAGTTTCCTGCACATGAGTCGTAGACCCGATGGCCGTTTCGCGGCGACACCCTACCACATACTGCGAGCTATCTCCCTCCCAATGTGTCTGGACTCTGAATGTTTGACGCTTACTTCGTATGGCCAGTATCCGGGGGCAGCGTGCAAGTCGGAAAAAAAAAAAAACGATACGGCCGCTTCTACCTCCCTCGACAAACAAATGCAAAACAAACCTCGCTTGGGAACCCCAGCTACGAAGCAGTGGGGCCAAAGGCCGTGCAACGGAGACTTCGCCGCTGACCTTCACCTCGGACACCCGGGTGCGTTTTGAGGTTTTGAGGCGAAGGGTGCCCTGGGGTTCGGTGAACCGGGAAGCCATGAATTGTGTCTAGTAGAACTTTAAACATGGGTGGTTGTCCTCTAGCTTCTAAACAACCCACAAAAAGGGTACCCACAAAACCTTTGGCCACTCAGACCTAAGTTCCATTTCAGGGTCCGTGACCGCCAACCACAAGCAAAAGGATATTTAAAATGGCATGCATGGGTCGCTCTTCCCCCAGATCTGACACCTTCCAAGTGCTTGGGCTGCCCCTCAGCTCAGGGCAACAAGTGGCATGGGGGATTAAGTAGCCGGCAAAAGGCAAAAAAGATAAACCGATCACACCCAAAAAAATGGGTGTCTGGACAAAAGAACGTCTCTGCATTGGCTCTCTCAACCAGTCCCCCAAATCACTGCGAAACTTAATAACAAACCCAAGCCTAGAATGCAAAGAACACATGAAGGGATCTCTCGTCAACAGTGCCCGAGCTCGCTTTGCAGAGACTTTTGAAACTCGTCTGCATGCAGGCTTTGGCATTGCCAGCCCTCCAAAACTTCCCCTCCAGTGGTAGGTTAAAGCGACCGTCTGGCTTGCTACCAAAAGCCCAAGCGCCCATAGTTTCCTTCTTGACGACGAGCCGGAGCACCGACCCAAATTACAACTGTGAAAAACCTAGGGGGACCCACCCAACGTTGCGACCTCCTTTTGAGCCACAATCAACATCTTCAAGTCACCCAAAACCATGGCCAAGAAATCAAAAAGACAAAAAAACACGCGCCTTTTTTATGCTTGGGACTGTTTCTTACCTTCCAATTTTGGGTGACCCCAAGTAAGTGGGTTCTCCAGCTTTCCCACGCTACACAACTGTCTTTTGGTGCAAGCAATCGACCTCTTCAACTGGCCTGAAAAATATGCCGATGAACCTTCTTGACCCACCAGAAACCCCGAGCGCGCCGCCCGGCGCCGGGCCAACGCCTCGGAGGGGGCGAGATCAACGCAGCCATGCTGATGGATGAAATCAGTGAGGATGCTGGTTCATATATCAACCGGTGGAAATTCATATAGGGGGTCATCCATCGAAGCATGGAATTTCGGATCTTTTGTCCAGCTGCTGCAGGAAGTGAGTGACCGGTGTCAGGTGAGGGTATACCCTGGGTGAAACCCTAAACACCTGAGCTTCATGGTTGCTATGAGTTGCCAACAAATCGGGATACAATCGCAGCGAGGCACTGGGCTGGACCCTTAAAGCTGTGATCTGGGTCTAAAATTTCAGCCATGAATCTGGTTCCAGTGGGCTTCCTGCTGGTTTCCCTCACGCCATCGGTTGTCACAAATTTGCGGACCCCCCCCCAATTGAACCCTCTTCGTAGGTTGCCTCTTAATTTCATCATCCACCGTGGAGGGAGTCATGGTGATTTGCCTAATTCCTGGCAAAGGACCAACTGGGTTTGAGCTTTTTGCCACCCCCGTCTCCGGTTTGGGAGACCACCTTCAAGAATCTGCAAAATGTTGCAGGGAAGGACACGTCACTCATGTCTACCCATCGGTGAGCTGGACAGATGGACGGAGATCCCCTGCCGCCGAGTTCATTGGACGCCAGATTTAGAATAGTGCATGCCAAATCGATACCTCAAGCCCAGCCATAGTCCCACGATGCTGTTGTTTAGCAGCAAATTGACGCTATTGTTTGTGATTGAAGCATCGAATGCCCTGAATTTCATGTGGATTCCTTCTACGACAATCACGTATCGCTCGTGTTTCTTCTTCTTTTTATTTTGATGGGGGGGGCAGAAGAGGTGCTTCCAGGATGGATCCAAATGCGTGGTTGAGCATTGCAGGTTAGGCAGTTGCTGCCATTGGGGATGGCCCACGTCGTGCTTCGGTATTTCATGCCAAATACGATTTGTCTAAATCCTCGAAGTCTTGCCTCTGCAATGCGCCAAATGATTGCTGCCCTCGGTTTGTGCAGTGTAGGGAGACGGATCAAGCAGTTGCAGCACAATGGGATGAGTTCCCACCGTGCGTTTGCAATCATTTCTGAGGGGTGCCGAGTGGCAAGTACATTATGCTACATGATGCTCCTTTTTTCAGGCCCACTGTAACCCATCTCCGGAGACTTGCTCAGCGAGTTGTCTTGCAGCTGCCGCGTACTTTTGATTTGCCTGGCTTTTTGTGCTATGATGTGGATCAGTCCCCTTTCGGTGTCTTTCCCCCTCAAAAGGGCGTGAAGCTGGGTTGCAGTGATGGGAAGCCATGCGACAAGTGCTGGCTATTTTTACAGCAAAGCCACAGGTAGGGCGGCCGATTTGGCCCGTCATATCTGAACAGCCACCGTGCAGGATCCCCACCCCCACCCGGTGACCCACAACCCTTCACCAGCCCCCAAAAGGGTGTGCGCCTCACAAGGGTCGCCAACAGCAAACCCGCCCATTTTGAGGGCCTCCCAATTTTACCGAAAGCACTTGCATAAGGCCATGTAGACACGGATAGATCTGGAGCAGAGCACCAACCTTTTGGGGCTGAGGACCCCTAGAGTCCCTTTACAGCGCCCGGTGTCACCAAGGCGCCACCAACGGCGACAATCGCCCGGCCGCAAGGTCCATCAGCACAGAGATGTCCGACACCTGCCGGAATCCGAATCTCGGTTGATCGGTCGAACGGCACGAAATTGAAGTAAAAGCAACTCGTCCAATGTGAATATGTGAAAACAATGTACACTTGTGCGTGTGTGTGTGTGTGTGCAGTGTAGCGTGGTGTACTGTGGTGAAATGCAATGAACGGTGAGGCACTGAATTGCAAAAAAATGCATTGTCATGTAAATTGAGGACATGTAACGTGTGCAATGCGATGCATTCATTGTCTCTAATGTAATGTAATGTAATGTGATGTAATGTAATGTCATGTAGTGTAGTGCAATGTAACCTAATGTAATGTACGTACATACGTATATACAGTATCTGTGTTTTTGGTTTCTTTGTTTGTTTGCTTATTTGGTTGGTTGGCTTGTTTGTTGTTTGTACGTATGTACGTATACGTACGTATAGGTACGTACAGGTACGAATAGGTATGCATAGGTACGTATACGTACCTGTACGTGTACGTGTACGTGTACGTGTGTGCGCGCGTGTGCGCGCGCGCGCGCGTGCGTGCGTGCGTGCGTGCGTGGGTGGGTGGGTGGGTGGGTGGGTGTGTGTGTGTGTGTGTTTTTGGTGTTTGTGTGTTTGTCTGTGTGTTTGTGTGTTTTGTGTGTGTGTTTTGTGTGTGTGTGTGTTGTGTGTGTTTTGTGTGTGTGTGTGTTTTGTGTGTGTTGTGTGTGTGTTGTGTGTGTGTGTGTGTTTTGTGTGTGTGTGTGTTTTGTGTGTTTTGTGTGTGTTTTGTGTGTGTGTGTGTTGTGTTTTGTCTGTGCTTTGTGTGTGTGTGTTGTGTGTTTTGTGTGTGTGTGTGTGTTTTATGTGTGTGTTGCGTGTGTGTGTGTGTGCTTTGTGTGTTTTGTGTGTGTGTGTGTTTTGTGTGTGTGTGTGTGTTTTGTGTGTGTTGTGTTTTGTGTGTGTGTGTTGTGTGTGTGTGTGCTGTGTGTGTGTGTGTATGTGTTTGTCCGTATGTACGCATGTATTTATGTACGTATGTGCGCATGTATTTATGTACCGTATGTGCGTGTGTGTTTAGCTATGTACATTTGTACATATGTGTATTTCTGTGGGTATGTATGTATGCATGTAAGTATGTACGTGTGTATTGTTATTGATTTAGACTGTATACATACAAATACTATATAATATGTATATACATATATATATATATAGGCAGTGTAAGTTGGTCAACCGCATTGACGGATATGCAGTTGGGGCACACCCACAGAGGCGGAAGACATCCACAGCTCTCCCTGCCCTTCTAAGGAGGATTGCGCGAACCTTTCTGGTGGCAGACCCCTCCACTGCCCGTACTGTAGGGGAAAATCAGGCGGCCCTCCCCTAGTTGCGGTTGAAATTTCGGGTCCATGTCACCCACTGTGTTCAATTGGACCAGACCAACAAACGAACGACTGTACACGACCGAACTTCTGGGTTTGTCTCATGGATGGGAGTCACCTGTCCGGATTTTTAGCAGAAGCTTCGATCTTTACTTAGGAAATAATTATTCTGAAAGCCCATGTGCTTTTGTTCAAACACAAGGCACAATGAAAGGGGATCAACAAACATTAGGGGCTAGAAATGGCGGCCCTGTTCGTCCAACTCCCAAATATGTTTTCTGACCTCCATGTTACCTTTGTTTCATGAAGCCCAAACAAGCCGGTTGGTTGAAAAGGCAGGACCCCAGCTTGAAAGATCCCAAAACTTCCCTGGTCCCCGATGTTCACCTCCACGCGCGCCGCTGTGGACGAGGCTTCTGAGGCCGTGGTCTCCCGCACCTCACGGATCGCTGGGATTTCCCAAAGAAACATGCCGATTCGATAGGTAGGGAATGACGGAATGAACCTGGTGGTTCCCTGAAAGCAAACCACAAGGGTCATTCCCTCATTGCCTGCTGAGCATCAAAATATGGTCGGCGCATGATGAGTGAACCCCGTCTGATTAAAAGACTCCCGATTCTCCGCGCAGAATGCTAGCCAATACTACTTTAAAGGCACCCACAAGGTTTGGACAAAAAAAACAATTGAATACTTGTGTAGTACCTCCCAGCACCCCCTCCAACTAAACGCAACCCCAAAAACATCCAGAAGCAGCAGCAACAGCAGCAGCAGCCTTTTTCTATTGGCCCAGCCTGCTCCAATAGGTCTCACGAAAAGGGCTATGTTTAACTGACACTGCCAAAGGTTTTTTCAGAAGTGGGTTAGATCCAAAATATGTTTTTTTCCAGACTATCAATCATGTGCCTGCATTAGCGGCCCCCAAAAAAGGATTACCTTCAAACTTCCCTTCAAACCGCCTCCCCAGCCAGCTTAGCATCCTCGAGCTGCCAGTACCTGCAGGTGTGAGAAGCTCGTTAAAGCGGTCAACATATGGGGCTAGGTTTTTTTGGAAAGTACCGCTTTAAGTTGGCTTAAAAAGGAAACCGGAAGAACACCAAAGGACACAGAAATCAATTTCGGGCGTCACTCAATCTTGCACGCATCCTTAAACTTATGGGGTCCGGGTGACTTGGTAATTTCTATCTATGGAGTTGGCTGAAAATGCATGACCCCGCCCAAAAACAGAAAGACTTTCAGTCAGCTTCCCTGGTACCCCCAAAAAAACCATAACCATGTATGCATCTCTGCTTCATGTTAAGAGCGCCCTGCTTTTGACACATACCATGCCATACCCGAAATGGGAAGTGAAATCAGTGAGCCCCCAAATTGACCTTGGACTATACTTTCAAACTTGACCAAACCTCTAATAATGGTGCCGACGTCCGGGATTCCCCCCCCCCTTGGTGGATGTATCTCAAATTAGGGCAATCTCACCAAGGTGATTTGTATCCTTCCATTTTGGCTTCCTAACCCCCTATTACCCCCAAACAGACTTAGGGTTGCTAGTGTGAATGGCTGTTCCCCTCTTTGAACAAGATAAAACGGGTAAAACCACCTGTGGAGGAAACCAACCGCGAAACCCCGACGTTCGACACGCGCACACCTTTTACAGAGCTGGCTTTCCATCCGTGGGAAATCGTTTGGGGCACTCTGCCACGAAGGCAAGCGGCCTAAGTCCAGTCGAGCGCAGCAAAATTGATCAAGTTGCAATCGAGGGCCCCACCGATTGGAGCCCTCACCTGAAATTGTCAATGTGACTGTCAGGATCGCTGAGGCTGCGCTTACGTCCTTGCAGCCGCGCCTTTGATGACAGCAGCTACTTGGCTGGTCGACGATGGGCCTTATCAAGCGTCCGCACGTCCCGAAACGCTTTGCGTCAAGCACAAGGGGACCACAGGCTCGTTGAACAAGGGCCCTCGGTTAAAGTCCTCCAATGAAACCAGTCTGAGAACGATCCCTCATGCCCAAAATAATCCATATTCAAGAGTTGGCATGCATCAAGTAACTCTACTGCTGCCATGCCTTTTTTCTGCGCCTCCTTCTTTAGCCGTGACACCCATTGGAGTGTTCGGTGACAAGGGTCATGGTGCTGGTTCTAATTATATTAAATTCTAAAGCCATGCTGTTCCCTGCAAAGGACACCAACTTGTCACCAACCGACATGTTTGAACAGCGGACGAAAGGAGCGGGCAGAGCTGCAGCCTGGTATTTAGAATATTGAACATCTGAGCAAACTATCTTCACACATCTGAAGACAGGGCTTGTCCCAAGAGGATGTGCTCCAAGGAACCGTCATGGGAGGCTACGTGTCAAACGATTTGGCGTCTCTTTTTGAAAGCCCTGGCAACTTGTCGGTTTGAATAGAACATTCAGCCATTTTTGGGGGTCCGCTCGGAGACCCTCGCTGAACTCCAGTCAGGTTTAGCTCCCCACGCCGAGAATCGCTGCGCAGCTCCTCATCGACGCCTGAAAGAACATGCAAATTTTCTCAGCTTCCCTCTAATTGGTGGTTTGGGTTGGTTGGTGGTTTGGATTGGTGGTTTGGCGGTTAAAAAGGGGCTTCCCATTTACCTTCCACAAACACCAGGGGTTCAAATCCCCAAACCACCAATCCAAGCCTAATTAAGGTTAACTTGAGAAAATAATCTGGGGGGTGGCCGGTTGTTGCATCACACGTGAGTGCACACAAGCAAAACGATGCGTGCCACAGGTTCGGATGATTTGAAAGGGACACCCGAAGGAAACCATCCATTCTCAAGTGTCGAAGCACTACTTTGGAAACACCCGAGAATGTGCTCCTAAAATACAGCTGGGCTTGTCTCCAAACAGGATTGGGATGTACATAAGCTTGAGAGGGCGCGGGTCCACCCCTAAACAGCCATGACAAGGGATCAGCGATACTAGGGCCCCTATTTGCAGGGTTTCAAAGACAAATGTATGAAGCCGGCCATTTGCAGATATGCACCATATGAAACTGACAGAGTCTGGGTCCCAAAGAGAGGTCTAAGGCGCCAGCAAGCTGCGCATCTCTTGATGAAGCGCTCAGCCTGCGCTTTCGAGCTCTGTAAAACCGCTTGCCATGTCGCGCAATCTCCTCCATTTGCTGGCTTAGCAGCCATTTCAGTAGCCAACGCGAGGCAATGTTTGCAAACAAGAGCCGAACTCTTGGTTGCCGCCTGAGGCAACTGGGATCGATTGGATAGAAGGAATAAAACAAACTTCCCCAAAGATTGCACCATGGGCAAGAAACGGGGTAGTGGCCAGGAATGCAATGTGTGATCATTCCTGGCTCCGACCGCGTCCTCTGCCGGCGTCAGCGATGCTGCGAGCGTTCTCACATGTGCCTGACAGGGATGCCTCAACCTTGCAACAGTATCTCACATCTCCGGTGCTGGAAAGAAAACAACGCACCGCTGTGTTGGTCTTTGATTCTGCAGACAAACTAGCAGGAAACGGAAACACGGGTATTACTGGAGGTCTGGGACAACGTCACACCGGTCACAAATCAGCACGTGCCCATTAGCGATGGCACAGCCTCTGGCTGCCTAAACATCAGCCATTGGGGGGGCCTTGGTTTTTGACACATTCCTCGGCGTACCTGCGGTACGTTGATTCTTTCCAACAAACTTTGCAAACAAAACTCGGAAGTGGAAAGGAGGCCATCTGAACATGCCAAAAGTCGCTCAAACCCGTCCTCTCAGCTTCTATGACTGCTGCAAGTGTTTTTCAACAAGGGTAGACTGAAAATATCGTGAAAGGCTTTCCATTCATAGGTGCACTGGTCGCCCTGTCATGAAGAGGAATCCCTGTTTACATCACCGGCCAACACAAAACTCACCTTAACTCAGCCCAACCCGACACAACTTTGACCATGCCAAGGGAAATCTCGAGTTCTCACCGGGGAAACAGGTTGGCGGCACTGAGCCGCCGGCGGGCCCGGCGGAGGGCCCAGACCAGCTGGCGGACATCGGTCACGCGCCAAAGGTAAGCACTGGGTGAGCCTCAAATACGCCGGGGATCAGCGAGGTGCTCTAAGGCTAAGGACTGCGAACACCAAATGCTTGCTGGCACAGGTGTCACTTCCGATCTGAGTTGAAAAAGCCTTGGCAGGAAAGGAGCAAGCGCAAGGATCCTTTTCTGGTCTGTATGGTCAAGCATATCTCCTTCGAAAGACTACGAGCTAATCCGCATCTGAACGCGACACGTCAAAGCCTTTGGCAGGCAGGTGCTTGCATAGCTGTTGCGCCGGGTCTCAGCTTCTTGCTTCTTGCTCGCTCGCTCGGGGCTGACCTGGCAATGATTGCACCTTGTCCCCGGGACCTTGTCCTGGGTTCTCGCCTCACTGCGCCGGGTTGCCGAAGATCGGCACAGAACTTAGCATGGATGCTGCATCTTGCACATGTCCCGCACGGGCAACGGGGTTGCTGATGTCTCATGTCCTCTCCATGGCAGCGGCTGGCTTCGCGGACTGGCGGCGCCAGTCGCGCTGCATCTGCAAGATTCGGCAGCCTTGCCTGGGCCAGCACGGAAATTTCAGCAAACAAATGCAACATGCCAAATGTCACGAACATAAACCAGTTTGCACCAGACTGGCATGTCGCATATCAACTAATTGGCCTAACAGCAACTTTTGCAACAGCGATGGAGAATGCAAAGCAACCCTCCATAGTTCTCCACAACATCACACATGCCCTGTGGACAGCAAATCCTCACCTACTGCATTCACCGAAAACGCGTGTCACACCCTTAGGCCAAGCAAAACGACCACGACCATGACCAGGACCACAACCACAACAACACCCACAAGCACAGCAATCACACCAAGCACAACAAGCACAACACGAACAGCAAGCACAGCAAGCACAACACGAGCAGCAAGCACAGCAAGCACAGCAAGCACAACAAGCACAACAAGCACAACAAGCACAACAAGCACAACAGGCACAACAAACACAACACAAGAAGCACAACGACAAGCACAACCACAAGCACAACCACAAGCACAACAGCAAGCACATCTGCAAGCACAACAGCAAGCACCAACAACGACAAGCACAACAGCAAGCACATCTGCAAGCACAACAACAAGCACAACACAAGCACAAGCACAACAACAAGTGCAACAACAACAACAACAACAACAACAACAACAACAACAACAACAACCACAACCAACAACAACAACAACAACAACAACAACAACAACAACAACAACAACAACAACAACAACAACAACAACAACAACAACAACAACAACAACAACAACAACAACAACAACAACAACAACAACAACAACAACAACAACAACAAACAACAACAACAACAAACAACAACAACAACAACAACAACAACAACAACAACAACAACAACAACAACAACAACAACAACAACAACAACAACAACAAACAACAACAACAACAAACACAACACAGACACACACAACGACAACGACAACGACAACGACAACGACAACGACAACAACGACAACGACAACAAGACAACGACAACGACAACGACAACGACAACAACAACAACAACAACAACAACAACAACAACAACAACAACAACAACAACAACAACAACAACAACAACAACAACAACGCAACAACAACCGCAACAACACACACAACACACACACACAACACAACACAACACAACGACGACACGACACGACGACGACGACAACACGACACGACGACGACACCACAACAACAACAACAACAACAACAACAACAACAACAACAACAACAACAACAACAACAACAACAACAACAACAACAACAAACAACAACAACAACAAATAACAACAACAACAACAACAACAACAACAACAACAACAACAACAACAACAACAACAACAACAACAACAACAACAACAGCAGCAGCAACAACAACAACAACAAGAACCAAGAACCAAGAACCAAGAACCAAGAACCAAGAACCAACCAACCAACTATCCATTGTTTATATTGTATATATTTTTTCAAAAAGAACAGTAAAATTATAGCATTCCATACATTGGTATAATCATGTTCATCTTTTGTTTACAAGCATGTTCTTTTCGTCTGTTGATAAATTGTCTTTAAATGTGTTTTCTTGTTTTTAATCAAATATATTGTCTTTAATGCATCGATCACAATCACAATTAAATGTATAACCTTCTGACAATTCTTTGTGTCTTTCATTTGTTGGTAACAAAATGCTTTTGCTTGGATAAAATGTTGGTACTTGTTGTCGTTGTTGGTTGGTTGGTACTGGCTTGCTCGCTCCCTCACTTGCTTGCACAAATTCAGCCTCCCATGCTTGCTCCCACTCACCTACACGCCGCACACACACACACGCACACGCACACGCTGATGCTTGTCACGCGCATTCACATTCACACAAGATCTACGCATGTAGCTTGAGCGCAGGGTTGTTGTTTGGTCCAACCGAACTCATTGCAGACCTGTTCCGACCAACGTATGTTCGCTATGGCTGCGTCCAAAGCAGGGAGTCTAACAAACAGTTTGCTTTTCTGTTGGTTTCCTTCCCAGCAACGCTTCTGACGGTGGTCAATTCACATTGTGTTCTCAGCTCGACTTGGGTAAGCAGTTCATAATCATTCTAAGCACATAACTCTGTGAGAACATGCTTGTGTGTCGGAATGCCCCTGACCAAGCGCGCGGATCCTCGAAGACTCCCCCCGTGCTATGGGAATTCACCCCATGGGGTCACATTTCACCCGAAGCGTACTTGGAGTTGCAAGGCTGCGCACCCTCTGCACGTTTGCGGGCGAGAATCTGTGGTTGCGGCGCATGGTTGAGGCATTTTGACACTTGACACAGGTCACAGCTCGGCGCATCTTTGGGCAACTTCATGGAACCGCGTGGTTTCAAGTAGCGCATCCGACACACCAAGCAAGCAAGGCTGCCGGCCAGCCAACCAGCAAGCTCAGCAAACAAGCAAACAAGCCAAGCAGAGGAGAGCAGCAGATCAAAGCACAACACAACAAAGCAGAGAAGAGCAGGGCAAGCCAAGGCAAAGCAAAGCAAGCAAGCGAAGCAAAACAAGCACAGCGGCACGTCAGCTAGCAAGCTATCAAGCATGCAAGCGAAGCAAAGCAAGCATAGCAGCAAGCGAACAAGCAACGCAAAGCAAAGCAAAGCAAAACAAAGCCAAGCAAAGCCAAGCAAAGCAAAGCAATCCAAGGCTAGGCAAAGCAAAGCCAGCAAGCAAAGCAAAGCAAGGCAAGGCAAAGAAAAGAAAAGCAAGCAAAGCAAGGCAAGGCAAGGCAAAGAAAAGAAAAGCAAGCAAAGCAAAGCAAAGAAACGCAATGCAAAGCAAGCAAGCAGCAGAATGCTGTAGCAAACATGCCGGCGCAGAAAAGGTGCGGCGGAATGTGCAAAAGTACAATGCTGATCACTGTCTGTGAATCCTCTGGCCCCTTCACCTCAAGAAGAGGAAGGGTGCTCACCACAACAACGGACTCAAGGGCTGTGATGGCTCTCTAATCAGAAATCAAGATATAGTTGAATCAGTTCCAACATGAAATTCTTCTGAAATTAGGGCAAGGATGGATGGTACTTGAAAGAAAACCTAAATCAGACATGCCGTCTGTGCTGCTGTACCTATTTTACGACACAACTTTAACACATGCCAACGCAAGCAAGACTGTCGGCGCCAGGCGGCTCGTCTTTGATGGCATTGCACTGCTCTTCAGCAGAAAGCCAATAATGCCGGCCCATAACCTGGCTGTGTCTTGCTTCCCCAATGGGACTTAGCCCCTATCCTTTTCTTTTGGGGCTGGGTTCCGGGGCTCCGCACAAATTCCAGGTTCCGGTGAGGTTTGGAGTTACTGACACTTGGGCTTGAAACCTCTCTTTGGCGTCGGCGAAACCCTGGGCTGTTTGGCTGTCGGCAAGCGCTCCCGGTTCCTTAATGGCCTTCTGTGGAACAAAGCAGCCAGTTTCAGGGGTCTCTTTTGCGACACGTTTCAGGTGTCTCTTTTGCAGGCGCCTTCTTGCTTTTCAGGGCTGTGGGAATCGACATCGACCACTTCTGTGATACAACAAAAAGGGGATTCTCTGGTATCATAGAAGTGGGGATAAACCCCTTGATCCCACAACCCTGCTTTTGAGGGAAGAAGAAAAACTCCACCGAGTTTGACTCAATGCCGCAAAGCCGCACTGTCTGGCCCGGCTCGTAGCCCGAGCCTCAAGCAGCTTGTTTGTTTCGCTGAAAATCGAGGGAGCCCCGCAAAGGTAGAAAAAGAGAGAGAGAGAGAGAGAGAGAGAGAGAGAGAGAGACAGAGAGAGAGAGAGAGAGCGAGCGAGAGAGAGCGGGGGGTAGGGTGTTGTTTAAGGGCTGCCCTTTCGGAATTATTTGAAAGGGAGTCTAAACTGGAAACCGAAGCCGGGAAAGGCCCTGGTGTCGGCCAAGTCGCGGAAGCATCGGGTCGTGCAATGTTGTGAAGGCCCTGAGATCTGACTCCTGACAGCTGAACTGACTGGACTTTTGTTCTTGCTTCACATACCTTAAGGGGTCCTGTCCCTCTGTTGCCAAAGTTTATCCTTCGTATCCGCTACAGCTAGGTGAAAGTAGATGGCACAATCCTTTCAGTTTGGCTTAGTCCTCTTAAGTCATTGACTTACCCGCAACAGGGTTTGTGTAATCTCAATCTTCTTCACCCCGAACCCGGCAAGACTCACTGAAGTCGCGCGACTTTGATGCGGTCTCCTTGCTGGCATGCTTGCTGTCAGGGAAGAAGCGGGGGTCGAAGAGCATGTGCCACAAGTGCTCGAACCAGGCGCAAACACCCTTGTTGAAGGGATCGTGGGGGGACAGGTCTGTCCGCCGTGAAATGAAGCCTCCTGTTCCACTGGCAAAAACAATTGAGTTTTCGACTCGAACAAGTCCAGGGTTCGGAAACAAATAAGCGGAAAGCTTTAGGATTGCCCAAAACTCCCTGAAAAAAGCGCAAATGTCTGATGTCAGACTGATTTCAACCTACCTGATCATGTGTGAAAGAGGGGGTCCCCGCAGAATGGCGTCGATCCTATCGGTTCCGCTTTAAACCAACCAGAATAGGTGCCCTTTAAAAAAAGGGGGGGGGAAAAAGGCAACTGCTGGTTCCAAGCAACCAAACAAGGGTAGCTTGAACCAGACAAAACCCGAAAAGGCGCCATGGCTACCGAGCCGCGGGCTCCGGGCAACAGCTCGAAGGATGCCCTGGCGGAGATCACCCGCGACAGGTAGCGCCAGTATCTGGCCGGGCGCCGCTCCACGGCTCGGCGGGTCACCAGCAGTTGAGAGAAGTCGTAGCCTCTTGGGCGAAGGCGAGGGAACAGACCCCACCCCCACCACCCACCCACCCGTCATGTGGAGCCCCCAAAAGGCAACGCGATTGGAGGCGCCCTGATGGAACCCGGCTTTGGGCCGTCGAAATCCGTTTCTTCAGGTAAAACAGGTCCGAGAAAGGGTTGCCTGGTGTTGGTATGTTTTGCAGACCGCCTCCAAGGTCGTCCCCTGCAAAGGGCGAGAGATCTGTGCCAAAGACCATCCGCCACAGGTTTTGCAGGAGCCGGGGGTTGTAGCCGCTATCGCAGGGCCCGATCTTCCCTCCCTCCCAGGGCTCCACATCGCAGTGGTAGCGAAGGTGGGAAGCGACCCGTCCGTCAGGCGAAACTGGCCCCTCGTGTCTCCAGCCAAGATACAGAAAGTCCACACTGGGAGACCAAGCGCCATTCAGAAGCGCCTGAAACACTTGCGACATCTTCCAAGGTCGGACATGTTCCAGAAAATCCGGGTGTAGCAACAACGACACATTGGCCAGGCTACTTGACATTGATGCTTGTGCCAAATGATGCAGGTACACAGCCACATCGCCAGTGGGAACCTCCTCCTCGAGTTTTGCCAGGCGAATGCTGGGAAGTCCTCCCTCTCCGAAGATCCTCAATAAGTCCCCAGGCAATCCGTTGAAGATCGCCTTCGACAAATGCGCCACATCGTTTGTGGAGATGTCTGTGTCATGACCCAAAAGAGAATAGCTGCCGCAGACCATGTACCTGCCGGCAATTGGCGGCTTGGCAAATGATGGCCACGTTTGAACTTGGAATGGGACTCGCCGCTTCCCGCATCTTCGTTTTTCATTCGGGGCCCATACACAGTTGAAGAATATATATATATATATACACATGTATCATAATATATATATATATATATCTATATATGCACAAAGGCAAAGGCAATATCCAAAAGGTAATGCAACGTGTAAAAACGAAAATCAACCAAACGAGAGAAAATCAAGCACCCTCCCACTTCGTTTTGCTCTGCAAGATGCACGTGGAGTCGAAACCTGGCGTGCCGCCAGTGCCCTCGAATCCGGTTGTGGGCTTGCGCCTGCCTGGCCCGCGCCGTGCCCTGCCAGGCGTTCGATGTTGAACGGTTTCCACACGACTATGTGAGCGACTAACTTTATTTACGTTAATGGAAACATGCAAGGGGCTGGAACTATTTTTGGAAATGTGCATATTTAGCCGCAGAACGAGTTGGGGAACACCCCGAAAACGAGATAGGGCAAGCAAGCATGATAACATGGATTAGGATGACATGTTGGCAAGTGCAGCCTGGCAGAGCGTCTTGGGTTCAAGGTTGTTAGATGTAGTGTAGAGTAGACGACCTACGTCGCATGGTCCGTGGCAACTTACCCCAGACTTTCCGGGGCAAGTACTGGCCAACCCTACGATGCCTAACTGCAAAAGGGTGTGAAGCAAACTTAACTTGCGAAGAAGCAGAAAAGCTGGTTTGTTCAAGATTTGCCCCTGGGCAGTTTTCAGCCGTCCAAAAGCGGGCCATATTAAAACGAGTTCCAAAACGAGTTCAAAACGAGTTCAGAACGAGTCCCCTACAGCGTCCAAGTGAGTATTGGCCCAGTTCCTCCTCTCAAGTATTACTTTTCAGCAAATTGTGTAGCAACAGTTTGCGTGGCGAAAGGTTGTGCGGCAACAACGAAGGAGACAAAGGAGGCGGCAAGCTAACCAAAGCTCGTTTACTTCTTTAAGCTCCTCTTCTTCAAGCTCTACAGAAAGTTGAGCCAGATAAAACGAGCGCGGTGTTGGAAAACGAGATAGGGGGCTGTGACCGAGCGCGGGGTTGGAAAACGAGTCAGGAACACCCGTCCATTATGCCATGTACAAATAAAAGCCGTTGCTCATGTAGGCAATGTGTATATATGCTTGTAATTGTAGTGTGTGCACGTGTATTTGTGCATAGCCGTGTTTTTCTGCGTTCTCATCTGCTGATGAAGGCAGCTCCCCTTCGCACCCCGGCCAGCCAGCCAGCCAGCCAATCAACCAACCAGCCCGCTAACCAACCAGCCGACCAACCAACAAACGAGCCAGCCAGCCAACCAGCCAGCCAGACACCAACCAACCAGCCAGCCAGCCAGCCAACCAGCCGATCAACCAGCCAGCGAGCCAACCAGCCGACCAACCAACCAACCCACCGAGGGAACCGGACCTAAAAAACCTAAGGACCTGGTGAAGAAAACCGAAACAACTCATGGGGTCGGCCCCAGGCCCCACTTTTGGGGCTCAAGGCCAAAGATCCGCCCAAGAAACGTAGGACTGCTATGCCACATACGTGTTCACCCTGTAGAGTAAACATGTGCCATCTGCTTTCAACCAATTGACTACATCTATCATTCCCCAAAGGAGTTGGTTTCCATTTGGCTCCCCTGTTACCACAAGGGGGTCCAGCATTTTGGAGAACCCTTCACATGTAAAAATCAGATTCTGTTTTTCCCCTGCCTCGGGCCACCCATCGAAGTCATCCCTCGCTGGCATGGAGCCACCCATGAGCGCTAAGCCTGCACGCACAGCGTCCAGCTCCTGACGCCCCAAATCGGAGAAGCCCTAGGGATCCTTTAAAGCCTTATAAATTACTTTTCAGGTGAGCAAATGACCTTTACGAGATTCAGGCCAAATACATCAGGTGGTGTTTGCATGTCTCCTTCTACCAGCGCCCTGCGTTTTGGATCTGTTGGGAACCCAAAACGGAAATCACCAGAATATCTGAACTTGCCTGGGTTTGAGTTTAGCGCAAGCAGCTGTGCGCAACGTGGCATTGATGCCGCCATGTAGACTTGGCCCCTGGGGTACACCAAAATGCAATGTTTGGATTTCCCATGGTTATCCCTTTAAAGATTAGTCATGCCCGGAGCCGCTCCAGACCACTCCGGAGCATATCTGGCCACTCGGGAGCCTATACCTAGGCTTTCAGCTGTTGGAAAATAGAACATTTCCTCAGAATGCAGCTGGTGCTTCATGACTCTAAGACTTGCACTAGTGACTCTTGGGCTCCAAATGTCAGCGGAACTTTCCTCTTTGCAAATCAAAGCGGGGAAACCGGTCTGCAATGGTTGGAGTCGCTCCCCCCTTTGCTGGTGGCTGCTTTCCTTTTGGCTTCCCAAAACGTCGGTAGCCTTTCAGAACCATCTCAACCTTCAGGAAAGTCAGGCTACGAATCTCTCTCCCATCTCCCGACACCTCCCGAGCCCGTCCTTGGGTGAGCACAAGGGTACCACCATGTCCACAAGCCAAGGTCGCTCCGGGGCCCTGCGGCTCTCTTCCTGAAGGCATGGGATGCCAGCCATTCAGAGACCTCACCCAAACCTTGACTCCTCCAAATAAGTAAGGCCCAACTTTGACCACGTCAGCGCTCATCTGGAGGAACCCAAAGGGGAATCATTTCTTCGATCTGTGCTTGGGAACCTCTCCTTCCCGCCAAAGTGATACGAATCGTTGAAAGAAACACATTGAAGGTGAGTGGGGGGACCAAGACTTGGTCCCAAGCCCCATATCTCTGTGCTTCGAAATACGTGGCAGGGTAGAAACAAAGCTTCCTGAAAAGGGAAACCAAAGAAACCTCGCTAAAATTATGCCCCTGTTTTAGTCATGCAAGGCTCCGAGCAACCCTGTTACTAGGACGTCTCGAAAGGAATCCCCAAAAACAGGTGGGTTGCGTTTGGCCGCTTTGAAACAACCAATTTTCCGGCACATCAAAGCTTGCGACCAATGGTGTTGGACACCTTTCAACAAAAACAGCTGCTCCCAAAGAGACAAATCCGGAAGTGTTGAGCGTGTGTGTGTGACACCACGCACACTTGGCCAACTCCACCACCTGGCTTGTGGCTGGATTCCGAGGACATCTTTCCCGTTGAAATATCCGGGAGCTCACCTTTAACGGGCCAGAACGGTGTGTAAAAACACCAAGTAAGGGAAACATACTGTGGATGGACGAACTAGTTGAAACCATGGTTTCTTGGTATTTACGTGGGGGCCCAGCATTCTGAGGGTTTCTGAGTGGTGCGAGCTGGATTTCGCCATCGGTTTTGGCTTCCCTCGGTTCGCCAGGCCCCTTGGGCTGCAAGTGCCAAGGCACCAGGCGCTCGGTGCGCCGCAGCGCGGCCGCCAACAAGTCCTCCCAGAGAGAGAAGTTCTGTGCCGAGCGCCAGACCAGGCGCCCGTTCTGCTGGGCGCTGCGGGTGAGGCGCCGGAGGCCCCTGACGAAACGAAAAGCCCTGGCCCTGGGAGCCCAAGACATCGTTGCTTAAAGCCTTTTGGGGGTTCAAGGCTCTCATTCTTGGGGGAGATCTGCGGAGGCGTGGAGAAAAACGTTTGACCCCACTGTTGAGCACGATCCAGGCGCTTTGGGCCTGCCGTCCAGTTTCGAGGACTTAAACCCGGTGGGTTTTTGGAGTTTCGCAAAACCCAAAGTGAGTCAGAATCAAAACCCGGTTCTAAAATGGTCTACCCAGAACCATATAAAGAATTAAGAAGGCGGCCGCAGCTATTTATGGTTGGGAGTATCCCTTACGAACCTTCATCTACCCGGGTTTTGATTGTTGCTCAAGTGATGGACCCGGGAAAGAGCTAATGGTTCGGCACCCGGACCCGCTGATGTCCAAGCTGCCTGTACACTGAAAAGAAGCATCTGGTTCCCAAAGGAGATGCTTGAGAGGCCAGTGGTTGTTTTTTCCAGGACGACCCCAACGGTGTTTGGACCCAGAACCGTTTGGGGCAGAAAGGGGCTTATGGTAAAATCGCCTGCAAACGTGGTCGCCTGGAAGAGCTCCCCTCGTGGAGAAAAAAAGGATGTCTCACTTGGCATGCATCTAGTATGCTTGGACGTTGCTGTATGTATGCGTCCGGCAGGGAAGTCAAGTGCAATATCTGCAGCCGCGATACCGCGTCATTTTTCTTGCTGATGCCAAGTCCTGACACCGGGTTCCGAGCATTTCCCTGTAAACATCAGACCACCCACAGGAAGCTCACTGGTTCCATGGACCCCAAGATCTGAATCCAAAAACGTGCAGACTCCCGCAGCCAGGAGTCCAAGTCATAGAGCGACTCTGCCTTCACCAGTCCAGTCACCAAGGCAGCCGGAGCACACTCCGCCAGTGCAAAGGCAAAGTTCGAGATGATCTGCGGGCAAGGCGCAGCGAAATTTCTCCGAACAACCTCGAGGTTTGAACCACTCGTGCTCCATCCGCAGAAAAGGATGCTAACCTTCTGGAGCGCCGCACCGGCAGTTGCCAGCTTGTTCGGACCAAATTCGAAAACAACTCAGCGGAGAACCTGCTATTTGCCGAGTCTGCCAGCCAAAGCTCCAGCCTGTGTCAACAGTGCCACCATCTCGATGCCCCACCGGCCTCAGACAGTCTTGACCACAATCCCGGAAGAATGCGGGAAATGAGAAAGCCATCACCCATGTTGGGGCGCCCCTATCATGAGGCCAACACGTATTAGAATACCGTGAACCAGCATATTTTTGGAGAAAAAGCAAAAAGACGAAACTCGCTAAACAAAAGAAAACACCCTGTGGCACTCCGGGCTAATAGAAACATGATTCACCAAGCTGCATGACAGCGCAAGCAACAGTTTGGAGACATGTTTATCCACACATCGCCCCATGGTCAAAAATAACTTCCGGCCTTTTTGGACATTTGCATGGGGGTACCTTTGTTGGGGGTTGATTTAAAAGGGGGGCCTAAAGGGAAACCGCCAACTTTCCGGATGCCCCAGTGCAGGCAACCACGCATTCCCAAAGAACCAACAATCAACAATCAACAAGTGCGGGACAAAAAACGACAAACAAAAAGAGAACATGCAGAGACGATCAAGCAAGCGGCAAACAAAGAAGAGAAACGCAAAGATATATCGACAAAACTCGGTAGAAAAGACACATAGACTGGCGAGGCAGGAAAAAACAACAACACACCCTGGAACAGAACATGGATTAGCCAAAAAAAACCTAGCAAAGCAAGCAACAATGCCGAAAGCTCTGAGGCCGGAATTTCCCATTCGATCCGATCCGAGGTCTGAGCCGGTGCGGTAGTACTCCTCCACGCCCTGCATAAAGCTGCGGAAGGTAAGGCCCTCCCAGCGGTTGGCCACCACTTGCCTCGCAGGAAGACTTGGGCGTGTCCTGTCTTTTGAGGGTACCCTTTTTTCAAGGGAAACCAAAAGGGAAGCCACTTATTGTCGGCCCCCCCCCCGGAAAACGCAAACCCACTGTGCCTGGAAACGTCGGACCTGGAACCTGTTCTGGATGGTTGTGAGTGTTGTTTTGATGATACCCTTTTCAGGTTGGTTTAGATGGAAACCAACAGGAAAATCATTTTTTGGGGGGTGGGGGTCTCACACTGCTTTGACACATACCCTTGGTGGCCAGAAATGTCGCGCCCTTTATGAAATACATGAGCTTTGTCCTGCTGGAACATAAGTGCCATCCTGCTTTGCAATTGCCCCCCCTCACTTCTCAGGACCCTCAGGAAATTTGCAAAATATGGCTCGGGGGTTCACGGGGCAAACAGCGTGGCTTCCCTGTGGTTTCGTAGAACAACCTCAAAAATGACCTCGAATGCGCAGTTTCGAAGGTCACTTGTACGCGCAGGGTAGCCATGCTTAAGGCAGACTTAACCAAGGGGTCTGCTTGAAGATATCAACCACCCCTGGGTTTGAGATTACAGTTCAGCCAGGTGTCTTTGGCCTTCGCAGCAAGGGCACGTTTGCATGTGTCAATCTGGAAAATCCGAGCATGGAAATGCCTTGACTTGGAGCCTATGCCAAAACTTGCGAATGCCGACACAGGATGTTTGGCGTCTTCTCGTTTTCCGTAAAACTCCCATCATGCGGGGACGTATGGGAAACGGGATGGTTTCAGCTCAGAGCCGTCGCCTCACTCGAAGTCTGCGGGCGGCTTGGTGCTGTTCCTCTTCATCCCGCGACTTCTCCGCCTACGATCAATCCATCGCGCCGATTGACTAAGCCCTTAAGCCAACTTTTTTTGAGCAAACCGGCAAGCTAGGAGGACTTGATGGTTGAACATAAGCCCCAACCTCCATTTCGGCTCAATCGGCGAATGCATGAAGCGAAAGGAACCAACCATTGTTGGAATGGCGAAGCAAAAAGGACACAAACACGCAACCCAGTTGAAGGGGTCCAACTTATTTTGGTAGGATTCCTACTAGCACCGCAAGCGACTCCTCTCTGCGTTGAAAGTCAAACAGACCCGTGCAACTATTTATGCGGCTGACTGTTGGCTAGTTCGACTAGTTAGGTTTGCGGGGGGGGGGGGGGGTATCATTTTCCGGCTGGGCTCCATTGTTTGATTCCCCGTGGTAGACTTACCTGATCCCACGGATAGTTCCTTTCCCCAAAAGGAACCCCTGAAAGGTTCCAAATCTATGGGGCGTTCTCAAACATGAACCCAAAAGCACGGCTTCGTGCTTTTGGGCCAACCTGTGTTTGTGTTTGTGTTCGGCCTCGTCGGACCACCGGCCGGACTGCGCGGGCAGCAGGTCCTGACGGATGGCCCAAGCCGCGGGTTTTTGGGTTGGCGCTGAGCCCAGCATGAAAAAGCCAGGAAAATCGAGGGCGTCAAACCGGGGTAGTCAGAGTTGCCCCAACATGTGACCTACAGGGGTGCATTCAGGTGGGATGGTCATGGCTTCCTTCGTCGGAACTGCCAAACAGTCCACAGCCCAACTCCAGGCAGCCGGCAATTGGGTGGTTCGACCGCACAGGTGGCGGCTTTCTCAAAATGGCACCAAGGAAGTTGGGGGGGGGTCCTGCATGTTTTTGAGAATATTAATATGAAGACAGACATTTCAACCACTCCTTGATGTACTCGCCGGTGTGCGGGTGATACGCGGGGCCATGAAGCAAAGCCTCAAATCAATGGATGGTTAGACTGTTAGACTACTGTTCAGGGCTCGGATGCTCACTGTTGACACCCAAAGTGCTAAACTCAGAGGTCGCGTCTGGCCTGCGTCAGTGTCTGAGGTGCGGGCGGGGGCTAGAGCTGCCGGCGCCCACGGAAAAGTGGCATCACAGCCGGGTTTCTCCGGCCACGGACTTTGCACAATTTCGACCTGAGCTCATCGGCGCGCGCGGACTCTCGCGGACTCGCGCGGACGGCGCGCGACTCGGGATTCAAAAGTCCGGCATGCCGCGCCTGCTCGCCTGGTCGGGGCAGAGCTCTGTGAACCGGATGAGGACAGCAAGTGTGAAAGTTGATGATGCTCTGTCCGAAGCACAGCTCCAGTCCTTGGCCACTTGGGTGCTTGGGCTCTTGGGCACATCTCTGGACGCCAAAGCCAAGCACTAAACCGCAGGCAGGAAGCCGGTTTCCCCATAGGCTTGCACATCGCAGCATTGGTGATAGACCCATGTGTCGGTCCAGCAAATGACTTCCCCCAAAGTCATCGCCACATGCCAGGTGCTAAGCGCTGCTTGAGCAACAAATGCCAGCGCATCACAAGCTAGTTAGGTGGTCCTAAACAGGGGATCCTAAACATGGGTGCTTCCTGTCTCCCTTTGACGCAAGACAACGAGAAACTGACCCATCCTTCGCTCCAGTTGCAAACTGTCCCAACGTGGAAGGCAGCATTTCTCTCTGCACAGCCGAACTTGAAGTCGTCTCAGAAGCGCAGCTTCTTGCGCAAGTAGAGGACATCCTATGAGCTACTTGACTGAAGTCCGCTCCAAGCACCAGCTCGCTGAGACAAACCCACGTGTTCCAGTGTTGGAGGTTCAGCACATGCCAACTGGTGGAGTTTGTCCATCGGTATGCTCTTGAACATCTTACAGCTGGAGTGGCGATCCTGATGGCAATAGACAAAATAAACTTGTTTCATTTGATTTAGCCAACGTCGGCAAAGCAAAATTGCCCCTGGAAAAGTACAGTTGAACGTCTGAACCGTCTAAACCCCCGTGCTTTGAGACAGATTGCCGAGCCAGCGCATCGGAAACAAAGGTGCACAGGTGAATGGATGCATCGCACTGTTTCGGTTTCATGTCAAAACCCAGAACGGGAACTCAGGATGAATAGAGCCCGAGACTGTTCCACTTAAGAGCAAATCCTTCTTTTACGGAGAAACCCGATTCATCCACCAAGTTGATTAATCCGAGCTCGACAATTCCAAGATTAAACTAACCCTTTTGAGATTCCATCTCGATTTGGAATTTCCCTTATGGTTGCCCTTTGAACCAACCGGATACTATTATCAGCAAAAACCAAAACACTAGGGACAAAGCCCAAGCCTCGTATTCTTGCAGGCGACCTATGCCTCCCAACCCGTTTACCCCCGTCAACTCACCAGCGACCGAAGCCGGGATCCCTGCCTTGGAGGGCCGACCAGCCTTGTCCGCCGGGGGTGCCGCGAACTTCTCTTGGAACAAGCCTCAGGCGCCATGGAGGAGAGGTCCCACTAAACCCAATGGCTGTACATCCCACGAAACCCGTTTGATAAGGGGAACCCATCTTAGAGCCAACCTTATATGCGCAGGGTTCCTTCAAAAATATATCCAAAACCCATCTGCCTTACAAGGCTTCGGATCCTCTAAAGCTGGCAAATTCAACTTGTCGACCGGCCCAAATGCAGCCTTTCAGGGACCCCGTACGGCGCTTGACAGGAGATGATGGCTTCCCCTACCCAGACCCGCGACCCGGGGGGGGGGGGGGTAGTGGGATTTTCAGCCACGATGCAGCCACCATACAAAGGGTGTATTTTTATGTTTCAGGTTTGCCGAGCCCTCGTCCCACGAATGCAAATGTTTTGCAATGCAGGGTCTGTGGCGCAGGTCCTTTGGATCCTTTGGGGCAACTGACTTCCTACCTTTGAGTTTACACCATGATAACCCACTGGGGAACATCTACCCCGACCCTGAGGGTGCCATCTTAGATTGACCGGCGTCCCAGTTGGCTGTCGTTATTGGTCAGGAACACCCTTGAACTGCCCTTGAAAAAGGTTGCTGGACATTCCCAATGAACATCATGTTCAGCCAAAGAGTCCCAAAATGCCAGTGTTGCCAAAAGGCTCTGCCACCATGGCAGGCAACTAGGATTCAAGGGGAAATCCATGGGAGCCAGAAACATCACCCAAGGACTGAGATATTGAGCGTCGCCAGAAAGGACATTGAGGGTTCCCTTGGTGCGCTGTCAAGGGAAACCAAAGGAAAACCACCCCTTTTGTCGGTTCCCCCAGACAAACTGAGTTTCAAGAGCCCTTGGGAAGTCTGACCGGAACTGTACACTGAACAAAGTTTCACCTCGCGGAGGAGTTGACATACTTTGTCTGAAACTGATGGATCTCAAGCAGCGGCCCCTTTTAAACCAACCACCCTCAAAAGACGCACCCACAAGGCGGCAAAATGGGAACAGAGCCCGTTCTCGTTCTGAGGTTGAGCCAATTCAAACAGTTTCCTCAAACCAAGACGCGATTGTTTTATGAGTGCCTTGGGTAAAGCAAGCTGCACCTGTAACAGCGATCTCTTTGGAGGGCGCTTCGCAATCCGTCTCTCCGCGCCTACCGAAACCAACTGAATGTAAGTCATACTCGAGACCTGTTGAAGGAGTCGTCTGCCCGAACCATGTGTAATTGGTAGCAGGTAAAAAAGGGGCGGGCGCACCTGTGCCTAGCTGGGCATCTATCCAGGTTTTGATTGTAGTTGATGCCTTACTCTTGTCACAGGCTCGGCCAGCTTCGCCGAGTCGGTGACAAACACCGTTTGCTTCCATCAAGGGCACCTGCTCATAGATGCTACAAGTCACCAGCAACGCGACCCAGCCACTTGAGCAACGGCCAAACCAGTTGACTTTCTTGATGCCAAAGTTCTAGGTGTTTACATTCCAAAAAATTGTCCTCCCCACCCCTAAGCACATGTCGCTCGACCCAGCTGCCTCCAGCCCCTCTGAAGCAAGTCCCTGAAGCCAGACCCTTCATCAAGAAACCGCACAAGTTTCCCTAGCATGTTCCCCCCACAAAACCGGCCAAGTTCCCCTAGAGCCAGGCAGGTCCCCCAGAAGCTTGTTCAATCCCCTCTAGAAACCGGTCAACGAATGGCCCCAACCGAATTGCCCTGGGAACCAGCTCGCACGCAAACAAACACACCACTTCAAGGCAAACCAAAACACAGTACCTCAAAGCCAGCCAAAAGCATTCTGGCCGAGGCGGGCAACGCGAAGCGTCCCAGCAAACCAGCAGATTCAAAACCGGGCCTTGAATTGCCCTGAGTTGGCCAAAGGTTTCTGGGTGGTTGGGCGCCTCTCACTGTGGAACAACCCAACGTATGCAGCTCGGGAGCTCTTTGCCAGCTTCCTCGCTTCCTGATGCGATTGCAACCTCTTCAAACCTGGGCCTAACTTAACCCCCCCCCCCCATGTAGGGTTGTGTTTCAAAACAAACACACTTCCTTTCACGGAAAAAACATGTTCAAATCATTCGTTGATGGACTTGCAAATGCTCTCGGAAACCTGTTCATGCTGTCCACACTTCCTTCTACACAAATCCCACAAAACGCTCCTCTCAAAAAGGGACACAAATAAAGTTGCTGAGACCCACAACCGGGTTATTATATATATATTGACACAGAACCAAGGGGTTGATCTTCACGAAACCCAAAAACAAGAGAAGTTGGCCACCCTGTTCCTTGCGGCCGTCGGGAGTGTCCATCTGCTGGTCGGTGCAAATGGTGGCCGGGGACATCTCCGCGGGAACCTCCCGGTAAGGCATCAAGCAGCCAAATCATGCAGGAATGACCCGTTCTGTACGTGGGATGCGCACCCCTGACGAAATGTCCTGCACCACTTGGTAGCTTAATCCCAGCAAAGAAACAGGGGTTCATGTATCCAATACAGGGAAGTCGTCAGTGTGACCATTGCCGGGATTCAAACTGCCGATTCACAGCACGAGGCAGCCTAAAGCCCAGCTTTCCATGCGGGACATGGCCACCGTTTTGGACCCCCCCCTTCTGGGCGGCACGACATGGCGCCGAAACGGAAGCTTCGGCCACAAGACTGCAGTATGTGTTTTGGCACATCCCAAAAAGTGGCACCCTGCGGACATGATTTACATTAGGAATGCCCATCAAGCACACATAGGCGTTAATCAGCTTGACCCCTTGGTGTCCCTTTTGTGCCGCCTTTCAATTCGTGGGGACCCAAGAAGGGTTGCCAATTTGTCAAACCTCCCATGACAAAGATAGGAAGCCCCATTTTAGCCCAAGGAAACCTGCATCTTTCGGTCAGTGCGCTCAGCCACATGCTTCTCAAAGTCAGGAACCCGCTTTGAAAGCAAAGGTGGCTGCCTACGCGACAAACACGAGGCACCTGGTACCTGGTGGGCATAATATGATTGTAGTTCACATACTTCACGAAGGGCCTCAGCTTTCGCCGTCCGCCGACTCGATTGGGTCGCCGGGAATTGGTCGAAAGCCCCTTCGAATGGGTAATCAAAAAACCGCCTCCCGCCCCTCCAAAAGGGATCCTATTTGACATACCAAGTAAAACCCGGAATGGTGCCGGACCCATTGCATATGAAAATCCTTGGACGGTTCCAAAAAGGAGACAAACAACCTGGATCTGCAGTTTCCCTTTTGAAAAACACCCATTGGACTTCTCGTGCTCCCCAAAACGCTAGACCGCAAACACAGGTTACGTCGACTTGGGTTGCCAAACACGTGGCCGCCTTTTAGAGGGACTACCACAACCGGCCCGAGTTTTGACAAGTCGTCCATTGCTCGCAATCTTGGCAAGCAGCTTCACCTTGGTGCGCTTGGTGATCTTCTTCTTGGACATTGCCCTGGCAGACGGGTTGTCAGAAGAGGGAACCCCTAAAATGGGTGTCTTCAATATTTCATCAAAAGGACAAAAGGGCCTGGCAGTTGGTCTGGTAATTGAACTTGATGAACAAGAACTCTCTTGATTGCCCATCAAACAAGAAGGCAAGGCTGGTAAAGGGGTGGTTTTTAAGGGGGAATCAACATGAGTCGTGAATGCAGAGGAAATGGCCCCCCTAAATCAAATGGGTGCTGCATAAAATAGGCTTACAAATGGCTTCTCTAAATACCATCCGTTCGAACATCCCGAATGCATCGCTCCTCGTCACCTTCAAAGGTGCGCGGTTGATGCCAGCCACCAGGCAGTGTCCAAAGGGCCGGCCCTTAGAGCCATCATCGAAGGCCTTCACGACGATGGCCTGCGGTCCACTTCGGCCCGGCTGGTCGGTCGACGGTGAAACGGCCATTTGCAGAGCGAACCACCTCCAAAGTGGTTGGACATAAATGGCTGTGGGTCAAAACCGATGGTACCATTTTGGGGTAGGTGCTCCATGTTCACTGGGGGTACGGGATTTTGACCCATGGCCAAATGTTCACCTGAATCAAAATGCGCACCCTACCAAGAGCTTGGGGGGCAAGACGCCTTCCCCCTCCCCCAACACATCTCCAAAGACGTTCTGCCGGCCTTCTTGCCAGCATAGCGGCCCTGCGGAAATGATACGGCTGCACTCTTGGATTGGCGGCTTTCGGGGTTCCCATTTGGTTGTGTCCTTTTTTACGAGCCCCCCCAAAAATTGTGCTTTTCTTTCTGGTGTCCCTTCAAAACAACCCAAAAAAGGGGGTCCCCTAAAAAAAGACACCCCCATTTATCCTCAGCCAGGGGTTAGTGTTTACTCCAAACCACGAATCCACGCCACCAACTCACTGAAGGGCATCGGCACACACTCGGCCTGAAGCATCACCACCACACGCCCAGCTTTCAGGAACTTTCCTGAGCACAAATGAGTGTTTATCAAAAAGGAATTGGTCTCCCAAGGCTCCGGTGAAATGTTAAGATTGCTTTAGCAGAAATGAGGATCAAGAATATGACGCGTTGAGAAACAGACCCAAAACCCCACCCCGCCCGTATTGCAAACCAGCGGCCCATTGCGCGAGGCTACTTGAGGATACGGCTGTGTTCTGTGCACCCTGGTGAATCAAATCGAGGCAAAAGCAGTGAAGCAAGCTGCCTGTGAGGTACACTAGCCATGTTCAAAACTCATGGAACGCTGGAGTCAGTCCAACGGCGCTCTGCAGGTTTATCCGCACAAACGCCGCAAGCGAACGCAAGCGAATGGCGGGGGGTTCCAGCTTGGTGGTCAAGAATTGTCGGCATACACCCAACAGCTTTGTGACCCCAAGAAGCCTGCGCCAGCTCTGAACTGCACCATCCTAACATTGGAGCAATGGCTTCTTTCATGCTAGATTCTCCTTGCATGGGCTTTTGGGGGTGCACACTTTCAGGGCTCACCATCCCTGGGCTCCCCTTCGCACGGGTCTCACGGCGCGGGGAAATGCCACAGACGACCCTTCTGGGTCAACGTGTGCTGCACCCAAGCACGACTCGGGCGCAGCGTAGTGCAGAATGATTCATCCAGTGCCGCATCTTAGAAGTGGCAAGAAAAACGAAGGCCCACGACCGGTTGCCGGTCTTCATGGCAGCTCTTCCTAAAATTTATAGGCAGGATGTCAGCTTTTTTAAGCTGTGCAAGCGTAGTGCTCGGACAAATCCGTGGCTGGCTCTGGCTATCAAAAGAAAGCAAACACGGTGACACGTGAATGCTCGAGATCTTATGGCTGTGCTCAGGCAAATCATTGAGCATTCAGCTGAAGCCACAGCCAGAAATAAATACGTAGGCCACTTATTGGCACGGTCATTAACCTATGCAGCGGCACAAATCAAAACTGCCGAGAACGCAACCTCAGCTTGATGGCGCCCGCGTCAAGGGAATTCTGCATACAAGCATCATACCATGGAACCTGTGTTGGGACACAACACCATGCCGCCCAAGCTGCCTGGAATGTCGCGGATAGTCCGGATGACGGTAAACTGGGCGGCAAGCCAGCTGTAGAAAAACAACCGGGCCCCAACGCCCCGATGCGTCCGGCACACAGCCGGCGAGAAATAGCATCAAAAGGTGGCCAACTGAAAGCGGGCTGCTTTCTGGCCCAAAGTTTGGTGCATGGCCCTTGCAATACCCACCTGCCAAGGGGCGAGGAAGACATTTCTTCAGATTCAGCAGTGGTCCTAGTGTCACTGTCGCATAGTCATCATGACTACGACACGAAGCATGCACGCATACAGCACGATAAGCAGCCGAGGATCGTCGATGTTCTGGCAACCTAAGGCATGCGCAAGCCGGCCCGCTTACTGAGCTTCGAAACCAGGGTCGTACACTGGGCGGGGTAAACCCATTCTGGATCCCAAGGGTTCTCCAACATATCTTTTGAGCATACCCCTGAACCTTTCTGCATTGGCCTGGGGTAATTACGCTTCAAAGGTATGCTGTCGGGTTTTTGGAATCCCTGACGACTGCGCGCGGATCCGACTAGGCGTCCCACATCTGCGAAGACCGCGTATGACGTCTTTGTGTGAGTGGAGGAGCATGTCACTTTGCCTGTCGAGGGAATGCCCCACCATCCCAAGCTTGTTATAGGAAACCCAATTCCAACCCAAAGTGTTACCTCAGTGGGCTGTTTGTTCCACATCAGGAACCGCAATGGAATACATGGGCATACCATGTGTCGCAACCGCACCTGAAGCTGAGTCTATGCTGGTAGAAACCTGGGTGCTGTGCGATGCACTGGCACTCGTCTGTCAGCTTGCCAATGTTCATCAATCCAAAGGCTGTACTACTCAATCACGAAATCAGAACTCTGTGCCAAAGGGAAATCAAAGCGCATCTGGGATGGATTCCAATGAGGTTTACTCATTGGAATTTCCCTTGATGGGCAATGTTACATGTGGGTCGGACAGTTGCAACGTGCATCATGTCTCCAACGTCGGTCGCGGTCGCCCGTCGGCTTCCGTTTAAGCCTCCCACACCATCGCTGGTCCAAGAATCGCTGGACGAGTCGAAGCGAGCACAAGTCGGGACAAAGTCGGAGCCTGGGCACAGCATTGAGTGCGTGTCACCCGTGGGTTTCGGTTTATCTTCGGCTTCCTCGGGCAGCCCGAAAAGGGAGTTTATCACAGGGCACCTCAAAACTGGTTGGCTTCCTTTTGGTTTCCTGCTTTCACCAACCAAAAGTGGGCGCCTCAAAAAAGACAAAATCCTGCAAGGGGGGTCGACTCAACCGTCGCATTCAGCTGTTTCCCAAAGGCCCCAAAGGCCCCAAAGGCCCCAAAGGCCCTGACCGGCTCCAAAGCTTGGCAAAGGAAGCGACACCTAGGGCGCGCTCCCATCCCGAGGCGGGTGCATGGATTGTTCGCTAGCTGCCCATCCACAAGGAAGGGCACCGCTCTGGGTATGCCCAACTGAATCTGAGGCCATCGCACTCACGGGTTCCAGAACCACCTCAATCACACCGCAGGCCGCAGGAGTCTGTGGTCATTCGAGCGCCCAAAACCCGAGCTGACTGTTGCTTCTACTCAGATGGTTGTCAAGATGTACAGGCCTTACTATGGCCCTCATACAAGACCAGGCAGTAAACCACCTACCGAAATAGACAACTGCCGATTTTGGGCACTGCTCATCGTTGCTTTTGTGTGTGTGGGCGCGTGTATATATATATATATATATACATGTGTGTGTGTGTGTGTGTCTGCGTTGCTAAGCTAAGCCAGTAGCGGCTGGAAAGGAGCAGGAGGTGATCTCAACCGAAAACACATCCTTGGTTCAGATCTTGGGCCGGACTCAACTGGAGTTTCGGTCAGAAAAAAAAGAAGAAAAAAACATGGGCCTAGCAAATATCTAGGATGCTGCACACCTGGCTGTCCTTTGGTGCAAGCCTTCTACCCATGAGACAAGGTTTGTCACCACCAGGTCTGAAGTAACTGCCGCATGAGCTTCAGCGCTCTCTGCTACAGAGCCTTCACTGCCAACCACCTTCTGGGTATAGCTGTACGGATTGCTCTTCCTCAGCGCAGACTTTCCGCATTTCCCTCCGCCAAAGGCAGAAAGACACACCAGTTGAAGCTGACTAAAAACACGCGAGTTTTTGCCCGGAAGATGACTCGAACGGGATCTCAGTCTGAATCCAGTCTGATCATTGAATCTGCTATCAACATCATCAGTCTAGCATCTGAATGTTGCATTGCGTTCTTTACCTAGTACTGACATACAATGAAGCATCAATTGTGTTGACCCCCGATAACCAAACAAAGTATCTGTCTTCTTGGCAACTAACTAATAAGGGCACCTTAAGCCTCAAGAAACAGTACACCTTTCAGCTGCTCTGGTTCAGGAGTTTCCCCGCGCCCAACCTAAGGCTTCTTAGAACCTTACAGGTCCCAAAGGGCTCTGAGAATGGTGGGGGGTCTTAGTTCGCCGAAACCTGGCACTCGGCAACTCGGCAAGTGACAGCCACTCCGTGACCTGAACCTCCATCTCACCGCAGCTGGCGTCAAGCCTTCGCCCTGCGAAGGCCCCCGCAGGGATCGACAGGCGCTGCCTGGGCGAGCCGGCTTGCCCGACAAGGACCAAGGTGACCGCGAAAATTGGAGGGTGATTTTTTTGGTGTTGTGGGAAATGAGGCTATGCCCGGCCCCCCTTCCTGTCCTCCCCAAGCCAATAATTGGTAGACCACCCATCATTTTGACAATTGCTCACATGAACAGGGTGGAACAATGCTCCCCAAAAAAGACATGACTTGTTCCCCAAAATTGTTTGTTCCCCTCCCAAATGGACCGCAGACTGGAAATGTTGACCGAGCCCCTGTTATTTTGGGGGTTTAGGTTGAAAATCATGCAAAATGGAGAGGTCCTTTGCCTCAAGTGAAAGAACCCTGTGTGCCTTCGTCAAAAGTTAGTATATCATCTCTTCCTTGCCCAAACCCCACGGGTTGAGGACCATCCCTAGTAACCCGTATATCAACATTGTGTGAAGGTATTCACCTCGAAAGAATCCTGGCCACACAACAGATACGGTAGTCGCGTTCTCCTTTCCAGGCTGCATCTGCACTCCAAGAGAAGCCACCTTGCAAGCGGCAAAGCAAGCATGAAGTGACCAAGCATGGCCAAGCGGGTGGTTGTCAAAATAGCCGTTGACAATCGTGGGATATCGTGGACACATCCTCATGACTGAGGCGCGGTTGTCTTTGTCTGCGCTTTCTTTCGCTGGCGGATGGCTCGAACTCCCGGGGCTTGCAAGGATGAGAGAGGCAACCTGTTTCACACAACGCCTTCAGGCAAGGCCCATCCTGCGCCCTAGATGCAGTTGAAGCAGCGCTTGAACAGAACTCAAATTGACGAAAAGACTGCCTTGCGCTAAACTCCTGAGGGGGGGTGACAACCCAAGGCTGTGTTGCTTCGCTCTCTATGACAAAACGCCATTGCGTGCAGCAGCGCTAGAAGCACACGTAGGCTAATGTAGCCCTAGGCCGATGCTGGCGGCATTCTGGGACTGGAGTCTGAAGGAAGGTAAGCTTAGCGCTTTGGAAGCCAACGTAAGCCTGCAAAGGCAATCTACGGGAACCCCCTCGTGTTGTGTATTGCCCTACAAACTACCAGTGCAGCCGGCGAAGCCGGTGTGAAGTTTCAAAAATATAAGAGCTATGCTTTGGAGCTCACTTCTTCTCCCTTTCTCTCTTTCTTTTTCTCTTTCGCTTTCTCCCTTGCTCTCTCTTTCTCTCTTTCTCTCTCTTTCTTGGTTGTCTTTCTCTTTGTCTATTTGGTGAGGCGTGACCATGATCACACTGGGTACTGCACTGCATACCCTCCTGCCAGGCTTGTGAAACAAACCACGCGGAAGATCGTGCAACTGCCGCGCCTCAGCGCTTGACTGCTTCGTCACAGCCATTTTGATGCCTTCGCCGCTCTCATCCACCGAATTGATCTCCTGACAAGCTAAGTGTGTTTCTTGGGGTACCCTTTTCACATGAGTGCAAAGGGGAAACAAGTGGAAACCACTCCTTTTAGAGCTACCGTTTCTTTTTGGCACATGAGCATTGGCCAGGCTGCTCGTGCGGTCCTGCACCTCACCAGCTTGCAAAAACTTCACGGCTGCTTGTCCCAGGTCGGAGACCAGCGAGGTGAGCTTCGAGCTCACCGACTTCACCTAACTCCACAGCGACCCACGCGGATGTTTTGGCTGGCGGACGTGGCGCCCGGAGTGGGCAGGGTTGGCAGAGAAGGCTGCCCCTCAACACCGAGCCTATGCAAGCAAGCGACTTCGGTGCTGTCCAGCTGTGAGGAGGATCCGCCGATGGACGCGATGCCTCCCAGCAGTGACGCCCCAGCAGCGGCCGACACGCCATCGCTGGCCAGTGCCAAACCTGAGCATTTTCCTCTTGAACGTCCACAGCACTGGGGAGAAGGCCTAAGGGCTTAGCAGGATTCGATCACGTCAGCAGCCTTCGTCAAGGAAGACTTGTCTGCAGCACTCCCAGCGATAACCTGGCTGAATCAGGAGATGGGTAAAAAAGCGGTAGCCGATGACAACTCTAGCAAATGCTTTGTCGAACAGCCTGGGTGACAGCCGTTCCCATTTGCTGCAAGGTCTCATCACTTCCATCTACCTCAGGTGCAAATTCGCTCGCTGCACCGCGCTGCTCACTCAGAATGCGCAAAGCTCATGGTCGAGGCACCATGGTCGTGACGCTGGCCAAGGCATCGAGTGCCATTGCCGTCACTGCTGAGGATTCCCCGTCCACGGAACCTGCATAGGGCATGGCACTCACCTCTCTCATGTGTATGGAAATCGCTCGCAGCTCATGCCACAAATGTTGAAAGCCGTGCCTGACATGCTCATGACCGTCTGAACTGACATCAGAATCTGACTGGGATCGCTGGAAGTCTGCGACTCTGCCTTAGTATGTGTCGACTGCCTCCACATGTGAGATGCTGGCGGTGTTGCTCGATAGATCCTCTGCCTTTTTCATGGCGCTCGCTTTCCGTGCCTGAAGCGCTGCATGGTTCATGAGGTTTGTGCTCTGCATTCGAGCCACCAGCACATTCGTCAGGTCCGAGGTGGAGAGACTGGCCGGCTGCTGTACCACTGGACCCAGGACAGCAGAGTCGGCCACTGCCCCGAGTTTGTCCCGTGCACCTGGCAGGCATGGACAAGCTGCATTTGTTTGTTTTATTTTTCGTGACCAAGAAGGACCTACACAAGATGCTGGCTTCCACACGGGAACTGATGCCAATGTCTTTGGCGCCAAACCGCTCTCTGAGTGGCTGTCTTTACACATGCAGCCGATGAGATGAGGCATCAAATGCTGAGTGTACAGGTGCGCGCTCACCCGTTGACTTTGGTGCTAATTACCAGGTTGGCCTTTTTTAAGGTCGGAAAGGTGACCTCATGAAAATCCATTCTGGATGGGGAGGGGTTGTGGGTGCCCGTTCTAAAGCTCTGTTTAATACAATGATGACAATGGGACGCGAAAAGGGAGAAAAAAACACCCTGGGGTGACGCCTTCATTTTGATACACGCCTGTTTCGTTTGTGCCGCTGCTTTCTTCGAGTCAAGGTACGGGCGACCGTGACGAAGGTGTTGCTGGGGAGGCGGCTTTCAGCGCTGGCGGCAGATCCGAAGCCTCGCACTGCCAGGCCGCCCAGTTTCACCCAGTACCTCGGTACAAGGGAGACCCGCGCGAACTTTAAGGGAGTCACTCATGAGACGCTAATTCAAGGGGAACCACTCATGTCAAGGGGTCACCCATGAGACCCAAATGTCCGCAACCGACCTGTAGAGGCCATCTGAGCGCTACCGACCTGTAGAGGCCATCTGAGCGCTGATCTGCCCTACTCCCTACAGGCCTCAGCCCAGTCCGTGGCCTGGTCAGACAGGGGGCTCTGCGCTGTCAGGGTCATCCCAATTGATCAGGGGCGGCCTCGCGTCGGGTCCAATCCGCACGGCGCTCTTTCAGATACGAAGAGCTCAGCTCGGCGCTGGAAAGCGGGCGAGGATCGCAGCTTCCCGTCTTCGCCTCGACACAGGCTTGCAGCTATGCGTATCAAGCCGGACCCACATCAAGAGTGCGCGCCATTCAGTCAGGAAACCAACAGTAATGTTAAAGCTGCCCGCGACTGGGAAGAGATAGAAGGCGTAGCGTAGAGACAAACTGTCCTGACAAGGGAGACCCTCAACTTCTTCACTCCCTTGCTCCCTTCTGTTCCCTTTCTTGGTCCTATCCCCCCAGATACCCCCACATCCTCGTCGGACCAGCCGGCCGTGCTGAGGACAAACTTCGTCTTCAAAGCCTCTCCCATCTCTGGAGTTGCCACAGCTAGGCCCGCAGAAGGCGCGGCATCAGCGACGAAGGGGGAAGACCTGGCTGCACTCGCTCCGGGGCACAAATCAAGTCGTGGCAAGGATTATGAAAGCCTTAGCATCCTGTGTGTCAAAACCGGGGACCCTACTCAATGACTGGTGTCTAGTCTATTTGCTTCTCTCTTGAAATCCAAAAGCTCTCTCTCTTTCACTCGGTCTCTCTCTCTCTCTCTTTCTCTGTCTGTCTCTCTCTCTCTCTCGATGTCTCGCTCTGTCTCTCTATCTCCCTGTCTCTCTGTCTCTATCTCTTTCTATCTCTCTCTCTCTCTCTCTGTCTCTCTCTCTCTCTCTCTCTCTCTCTCTCCGTTTGACACATGCCCATCTGTGGGTGTTTCTCATAGTAGAGTCCCTTTTTGTATAGGTTTAATCCAAGCCACAGGAAACCAACCATCTGGGGGTCCCCAACTGTAAGAAGCCCCCTGCTGATATCCAATGCATGCACAGAAGCTGTTCGCTAAGAAGTCGGCTTTGAGACGGAGATGCCCAGAGATGCAGCGTCTTGCAATGTGGCGGACTCCTCCCCTTGAGTCAGCTGAGAAGAGCTCTCCGCACCTGCCACCAATCAGCTCAGCTTATGGAGCCATCGACTCAGTTGAAACCCGAGAAAGAAAGACAAACAAACACACGGGAAGGGAGGGAGAGAGGCAGAAAGGGAGACAGGGGCTGAGAGACGGCGAGACAGAAAGACGGAGAGACAGAGAGAGAGAGAGAGAGACAGAGAGACAGAAAGAGATAGAGATAGAGATAGAGATAGAGACATCGAGAGAAAGAGAGAGAGAGAGAGATAGAGAGAGAGACAGAGACGGAGAAGGAGAGAGAGAGAGAGACAGACAGAGAGAGAGATAGAGTGAGAAAGAAAAACAACTGAAAGAGAAAGACAGAGACAAACAGAAAGAGAGATAGAGAGAAAACCAGATGGACAGAGAGAGAGAGAGAGCGAGAGAGAAGGAAAAGAAAGAGACAGACGGAGAGGGAGAGAGAGAGAGCGAGAGAGAGACAAAGCGAGAAAGAGAGAGAGAGAGAGAGGGAGAAAGAGAGACAACAGAAAGAGAGATAGAGAGAAAGAAAGAGATAGAGAGGGATAGAGAGGGATAGAGAGGAATAGAGAGGGATAGAGATAGAAGGAGATACAGAGAGAGAAACGCAGAAAGAGACAGGCGGAGGGAGGGAGAGACAGAAAGAGATAGAGAGATAGAGAAAGAAAGAGTGAGAGAGAGACATGTAGAGGGAGAGAGAGAG